AAGCTCAGCCTATTCATGCCACTGTCCTTTTTTTTTTTTTTTGAAAAAAAGAGAGTGGGGACTCTCTCTCTCTCTCTCTCTCTCTCTCTCTCTCTATATATATATATATATATATATATATATATATATATATATATATATATATATATATATATATATATATATATATATATATATATATATATATATATATATATATATATACAGGTGCTGGTCATAAAATTAGAATATCATGAAAAAGTAGATTGATTTCAGTAATTCCATTTAAAAAGTGAAACTTGTATATTATATTCATACATTACATACAAACTCATATATTTCAGATGTTTATTTTGTTTAATTTTGATGATTACAAATGACAACAAATGAAAATCTCAAATTCATCATATCAGAAAATTAGAATATTACTGAAGACCAATAAAAACAAAGGATTTATAGAAATGTTGGCCAACTGAAAAGTATGAACATGAAAAGTATGAGCATGTACAGCACTCAGTATTTAGTTGGGCCTCCTTTGGCCTGTATTACTGCAGCAATGCGGCGTGGCATGGAGTCGATCAGTCTGTGGCACTGCTCAGGTGTTATGATAGCCCAGGTTGCTCTAATAGTGGCTTTTAGCTCTTCTGAATTGTTGGGTCTGGTGTATTGCATCTTCTTCTTCACAATACCCCATAGATTTTCTATGGGGTTAAGGTCAGGAGAGTTTGCTGGCCAATTAAGAACAGGGATACCATGGTCCTCCAACCAGGTACTGGTAGCTTTGGCACTGTGTGCAGGTGCCAAGTCCTGTTGGAAAATGAAATCTGCATCTCCAAAAAGTTGGTCAGCTGCAGGAAGCATGAAGTGCTCTAAAACTTCCTGGTATGTGGCTGCGTTGACCCTGGACCTCGGAAAACACAATGGACCAACACCAGCAGATGACATGGCACCCCAAACCATCACTGACTGTGGAAACTTTACACTGGACTTCAAGCAACGTGGATGGAGTGCCTCTCTTCTTTTCCTCCAGACTCTGGGACCTTGATTTCCAAAGGAAATGCAAAATTTACTTTCATCAGAGAACATGACTTTGGACCACTCACCAGCAGTCCAGTCCTGTTTCTCTTTAGCCCAGGCAAGACGCTTCTGACGCTGTCTGTGGTTCAAGAGTGGCTTGACACAAGGAATGCGACAGCAGAAACCCATGTCTTTCATACGTCTGTGTGTGGTGGTTCTTGAAGCACTCACTCCAGCTGCAGTCCACTCTTTGTGAATCTCCCCCACATTTTTGAAGGGGTTTTGTTTCACAATCCTCTCCAGGGTGCGGTTATCTCTCTTGCTTGTACACTTTTTTCGACCACATCTTTTCCTTCCCTTCGCCTCTCTGTTAATGTGCTTGGACACTGAGCTCTGTGAACAGCCAGCCTCTTTAGCGATGACCTTTTGTGTCTTGCCCTCCTTGTGCAAGGTGTCGATGGTCGTCTTTTGGACAACTGTCAAGTCAGCAGTCTTCCCCATGATTGTGTAGCCTATAGAACTAGACTGAAAGACCATTTAAAGGCTTTTGCAGGTGGTTTGAGTTAATTAGCTGATTAGAGTGTGGCACCAGGGGCCATCAATTTTGAACCTTTTCACAATATTCTAATTTTCTGATATGATGAATTTGAGATTTTCATTTGTTGTCATTTGTAATCATCAAAATTAAACAAAATAAACATCTGAAATATATGAGTTTGTATGTAATGTATGAATATAATATACAAGTTTCACTTTTTAAATGGAATTACTGAAATCAATCTACTTTTTCATGATATTCTAATTTTATGACCAGCACCTGTATAGTCCCCACTGTTCTGTGTTGATGTAATATTTTGTCAATAATATTGTTCTCAAAGCATCTTCCTTTACTGCTGACTTTTCACTTGGTCAATATCATTGCATGCACATTTGTAAATGAAGTTGTTTATTAATAGATTTTCTAATAAATGTAAAGTTCTTTATTTTAGCTTATAAAATATATCTGTAAACTAAAAAAGCACTCTGAGAGCACAGACCTACACCAAACAGCAAATTTGTGAGTTTGACCTAAAGCTTAAACTCACACATGATCTGGATCCTTATTAAATTTAAACTGTTCCTTGGCATTAGGGACACCTCTGTAAAAAAAAAAAAATTATATATATATATATATATATATATATATATATATATATATATATATATATATATATATATATATATATATATATATATATATAAAAAACTGTTTTCTCACCCCTCGTGGGGTGGTATGTGTCATCCTCAAGCTCGGGTCCTCTACCAGAGGCCTGGGAGTTTGAGGGTTCTGCGCAGTATCTTAGCTGTTCCTAGGACTGCGCTCTTCTGGACAGAGACCTCTGATGTTTTACCTGGAATCTGCTGTAGCCACTCTCCCAGTTTGGGGGTCACAGCCCCCAGTGCTCCAATTACCACTGGCACCACTGCTGCTCTCACTTTCCACATATTTTCTAGCTCCTCCTTCAGTCCTTGGTATTTCTCAAGCTTCTCGTGTTCTTTCTTCTTGATGTTGCTGTCGCTTGGGATTGCCACATCTATCACCACTGCCTTCTTCTGCTGTTTGTCCATCAACACGATGTCTGGTTGGTTAGCCATCACCTGTTTGTCAGTCTGGATCTTGAAGTCCCATAGGATCTTAGCTCGGTCATTCTCAACTACCTTAGGAGGTGTCTTCCATTTTGACCTTGGGACTTCCAGCCCATACTCATGGCAGATGTTCCTGTACACTATGACAGCTACCTGGTTGTGGCGTTCCATGTATGCACTTCCTGCCTGCATTTTACACCCTGCTGTTATGTGCTGTATTGTTTCAGAGGCATCTTTGCACAGTCTGCATCGGGGGTCCTGCCTGGTGTGGTAGACCCTGGCCTCTATTGATCTTGTACTGAGTGCCTGTTCTTGTGCTGCCATGATTAGTGCCTCTGTGCTGTCCTTCAGTCCAGCCTTTTCCAGCCACTGGTAGGATTTTTTGATATCAGCCACTTCTTCTATTTGTCTGTGGTATACGCCGTGCAGCGGCTTGTCCCTCCATGATGGTTCCCCTTCCTCTTTCTTGTCCTCACTTTCGGTTTTCTCCTGCCTGAGGTACTCACCGAGCCATTTGTCTTTGGGGGCCATCTTTTTGATGTACTCCTGGATCTTAGTTGTTTCATCCTGGACAGTGGTCTTGACACTCACTAGCCCTCGGCCTCCCTCGCTACGCTTGGTGTACAGTCTCAGAGTGCTGGATTTGGGGTGGAACCCTCCATGCATTGTGAGGAGCTTTCTCGTCTTGATGTCAGTAGCCTCTATCTCCTCCTTTGGCCAGTTTATTATACCAGCGGGGTATCTGATGACTGGTAGGGCATATGTGTTGATGGCTTGGATCTTGTTTTTCCCATTCAGCTGACTTTTCAGGACCTGCCTTACTCTTTGTAGGTATTTAGCTGTGGCAGTCTTTCTTGCCATCTCCTCGTGGTTTCCGTTAGCCTGTGGCACCCCAAGGTATTTGTAGCTGTCCTGAACATCTGTTATGAGGCCTTGATGTTCAGGACAGCTACAAATACCTTATATATATATATATATATATATATATATATATATATATATATATATATATATATATATATATATATATATATATATATATATATATATATATATATATATACCAATGCATACCTCACCCTAACCCAAACCCAATTGACACTGTCATGATGCGATGGTTTTACTAGCCCAAATGTAGACTCACAGACACAGAGGGAGGATTAAAGTCCAATATTTATTGGAAACCAGAAGAAGCTGCAGGTTCAAGGCTCAGACAGGCATGCTGGCACAGGTAAGACACACGATCCAGCACAGAGAGAAGTTCAAACTCAGCTTATATAGGGAGCTTCCTTAATCAGCAGATAGAAAACAGCTGATCAAGCTGAGTCCAAGCTCCCCAGGCTTGGATCCACGGCGCCCTCTGGTGGGCAAAGTCCCGGATCCTGACAGACACCTTAGCCCTAAACCTAACCATTAGTTTAAAAAAAAAAAACTTGTGAGGACCAGCAAAATGTCCTCACTTTGCAACTTTTTTGGAAAAAAAAGTCAGAATTCTGAGATTAAATTCTGAGGTTAAAGTCAGAATTCTGAGATTAAAGTCATAGTTTCTGAGATTAAAGTAAGAATCCTGAGAATAAAGTCAGAATTCTGAGAAAAAAGTCAGAATTCTGAGAAGAAAAGTCGGAATTCAGAGATTAAAGTCAGAATTCTGAGAAAAAAGTCAAAATTCTGAGAAGAAAAGTCGGAATTCAGAGATTAAAGTCAGAATTCTGAGAAAAAAGTCAGAATTCTGAGAAGAAAAGTCGGAATTCAGAGATTAAAGTCCAAATTCTGAAATTAAAGTCCGAATTCTGAGAGAATTCTGACTGTTTTTTTTTCTGTTTGTTTGTTTTATTATATTTTATATTGAAATAAAATCTAAAAATCTGTTAATTTTAATTATTTTTTTCAATGGCCCTAATCCTCTTCCGTACTCTTTCGTATGAATGTGATGGTGAAATTGGAAAAATGCTCCTCAGTATTTCTTCTATACCACGCCCCGACACACACACACACACACTTTCCTAAAAAACATGACCTCTTTGGTGGTATTTACAGTTAAACTGTAGTTTGTCGCCACCTAGTGGACAAAGGAAGCCATGTCCTTCATCGCCTTGACCAAAGGAAATAGCCTTCTTTATAACATCTATTCACAAGGATGGGTCCCTTTTATTAATTCTTTAAGGTGAATGCACCGTTTTCTTCTAAATAAACTGTAAGAAACGTTTTTTTTAATCACCACAAATTGACAGATTGAGTCATGCTGGGACAGTCACGTTGTACAGAGCTCGACCAAAATTACAGAAATAAAAAAATAAAGGTGATGACGTAAATATTCCTTTTTTTTTCTCTTTTCATTTCTGTATTTCAAAACTTGCCCCTCGGTTCCGGCCCACAGCCAGAGTTTCAGACCCCCGTAAAGCATCTTTAAAGCGCATCACCATGGGCAGCGGCCCCCATGATGGTGATTATTTTTAGAAGCTGTTCCACCTTCTTTCCACACACAGCCCTGCATGTTCCTGCAATTATTTATGTACTTGAAGGCCACTTGCACGACTAAATCGAGGAGAAAGGACCGCAACAACACATCCATACTGGAACTGCAACTAATAATGAGGTGAGCTTATATGATTATGATGTTTTTGGATAAAAAAAAAATAATAATAATTTTGATTAAGGTCATTAGGCAAATGAAAATCTAGCAATGGATTATATGGATAATACACTGAAAATAATGCGACCGTTTCTGACATTTAATGCATGATATTTAGTTACTTTAACACAAATGTTTAATGTTAGCATAGTAGGACATAAAAGAATTGTGATAAAGTAACTAAATATGTTTAAGTAAGTGCCAAAAACAGTTGCATTACATTTGTTTAGTGTATCTGAATGGATCTAACGTTTAGAAAATGTTGTAGGTGCATAATTAGGCAAACAAATAACTACAAATTGCATGTCAGTTCTTTATTCTCAAAATCAGTGAATTTTTCTTTATATTTACTTTGATTCCTTTCAGAATTCCTCTTTAGGACATTCAGTACCTCTGAAGATAAGTTCAAAGTGATCTGGTCATGATCACAGAGTACCAGGCCAGTTTCTTTCCTCCAGGCAAATACACCAGCTCCACCTTAAAACTGAATAACCCTCACCATCCATGGGTCTGGGATGCCAGCATCACTTCAGTCAGGTACAGGATTTGCATGGATTTGATGTTTTAAGATAATCTTTTTATATATAGGTAATTTAGACACACCTTTAAAGTCAAAGCATAACAAATATATACAGTCATGGGGAAATATTTGACCTGCCCACAAGTCTGAATGTTTGCTTTTATGGTTTGGTTGGGTCTCCGTTTAGTACACACATAAGAGGTTTTCTATTCAGGGAAACAACAAATTCCATCCCTTAACTATGAATTAGCTTTTCTTGGAGAACCACTTTCACCTACCAAATCTAGATTAGATTATAGCAAGACCTGTAGCATCAAGAAATCTATTATAAACTTTCACACCAAAAAAGTGACAGTGAATTAATAAAAACAACTAACTAAGAGTTATTAAAACGACTGGAGTAAGATATACACTACGTAGAGTTCTAATTTAACACTAATTCTGAGTGGGATCATATGCACTCTTAAAGTTTTACTGTAACACTGCAAATTTACTAGACCAAAATATTGCTCAGTGATGTATTTATATTTTCTTTGTCAAAATCATCTGAAAGGTGTGTAGAAAACTAACCCCAAAGGTCGAGAAATAACTAAGTACAATGTAAAAGCTGGATTAAATCAGTTAAAGTGGGCTTTTATACTACTTTTAATTTAAATCCCCTAACAACTGGTGATCAAATGAGTAACATGTTCTTTATATTTCTTGGTCACCAAGAAATGTTCATGGACTGAGAAAACAAAATGCCTCCCTGTTTGGTAAGTGTTGATCCCATCCCATCTAGTTTAAACCTTGGAGGCAGTATCTTCCCAGGCTGCTTGGCTGCTTCTGAAACAGGAGGATTTTTTTTCCCTTATTGGTTTTGTCCACAAATTTCACCCATCATTTAAAATATCTGTTTAACTCAAGGAGGTCAAGGCACAAACAGAAAATATATGTGCTATAAGCACTTCTTCGAATTTTATTGCGGTTAAACCATTCAAAAAATAAATCTTCTGTAATGCAAATATTAGATGGTAGTTACCTCTGCCTGCAGACGCACCAATTATAAAGTTCATGAGAGCCACAATTTATTGGGCTGCTTTTTCCCCCCTAATCAAAACTACTCTTTTAACATTCTTGGGTTATATCTAATAATTTAATTTCATTAAAGACATAAAACAAAAAACTAAAGTTTGATGAAAATCTTTTACACAACACTTTAGGTTTAGTTAGAACCAGGCAAACAGAAATGAAATGCCAGGGATCAAGTCTTTATTTCCCCCAATGTTTAGGTGAATTAAGACTGAATCTACAGGGTCTGAAGAAGATGTTCATAATATAATCCTATATACCATGCAAGCTGAAGAGCAAAACTCAGACATTTTTGAATATGTGTTTCAGAAGGAGACATGTCCCCAGACAACAAACAAGCCCTTCTCCAAAGGCTGGAAGGCCGCCACCTAAAACTGACGTAACCTTTGCACAGAGGCTTTCACTCACCAAAGTGACCCAACCTTTGCGTGTGGACTATACAACTGTGTACCAAAGTAAGCAACTGGTCCTCCTTGCACATTCCTCCTCCTTGCACATGAAAGATGACTAATTATTCCAATAAGTATTTCTCTTATGCTGTCCAGATGATTTTCGTGCTTGGACACCAGAAAAGTTGTTTCCACTGAAAAGTAGCGAAAGCAATGAGAAGACATTACCCGAGAAAAAACGCTCTTCAATGGATAGGAAAGCCTTTGCAGTGAAAAGTCGAACACCTTTTGAAGCAATCACTACCTATAGAGTGGATTATGTCCCTTACCCAGTACAACCAAAGAGTAGCAAGGTCTTACCTGGGGATAAGAGTGGCAAAGTGCTACCAGAGACTCCTGATGCAGCCCAAGGAAAGCTTGGACTCTTCCAGGGATTCAGGATCAGCTTAACTGACATAGAGGATCAAAACTTCCCAGCAGTCAGGAAGCTCCATGCAACAAAACTCAACAGACCAACATGTCAGACCAACATGTCAAGGCTTACAGCAAAGTCTGTCCACATGCCAAATTTATGAAAAGAGAACTAAACTCCTTCAGGATGGAGACAGAGCAGCAGTTGGAACAGAAACCACTGATTATAAGGCAAAGTGTGCAGAATCCATCAAGAAAGCAGCAAACATGTGCAGCTGTGATGGTATGGAGAACCACCACGCTGTTGCACAGGTGGGCCTCCCAGCCTTCCAATGCTCATCCTGCATGTTCTGGTCCGTTCCACAGATAGGAGAAATGAGCCAGCGCTTAGGAAGCAAAACATAACCTCTTTACCTTCTATCATAGGAACCCTATTTGTGTGCATGGCCCTTAAAATTAAATGAGAGTAAGACCGAGGTCATGGATTTTAGCGGCACATCTGAGTTACCCTCCATTGTTTAGCCCAGTACAGGAGTTCAATTATCACAAACCTTGGTGTCAAAGTGGATGCTGATCTTCTATTTGACATCCAGATAAAGGAAATTGTAAAGAATGTTTCCTTCAGTTAAGGCAGTTGGCCAAATTAAAGCCCATTCTCACTAGTTGATCATCTGGAGGCAATAATCCACGCCTTCATCCCTACCTGGCTGGATTACCGTTGTGCACTTGTTGACACTGAATCATGTTTAGTTACTTTAACACTTTTTTTTTTTTTTCATTTTAACATGGTAGGACATAAAACAATTGTTTTCAAGTAACTGAATATGATTAAGTAGATACCAAATATGGTTGCATTGTTTTTTTCAGTGTATCAGGTTAGTGCCTCCATCATTGCTCAACTCCAGAGTGCAAAATGCTGCAGCAATTGTTTTATCTAGCACTCTTAAATATGAGCCAATTACCCCCATTTTACCCTGGCTCCCAGTAGATTTTAGGATTCATTTTAAAGTTATTTTATTAGTTTTTAAGTAGCTTTATGGTTTTGCTCCATCTTACCTCTCTGAGTTGCTGTAACTTCATACACCCTCCTGTACACTCAGGTCAGCTGATTCTATAAGTGCTTAAAACTAAACAGAAGCTCTGTGGGGGTCGTGCTTTTTCTGTGGCAGCTCCAAATATGGGGAACAACCTTCGAGTGGAAATTAAAAAGTCAACCTCTCTGATTTTAAATCACTTCTAAAAACTCATCTTTTTGTCTCGGCTTTCAAAACTATGAGATGATGATTTTGGCTTGTGATACATTATTTTAATTTTGTTGTCTTTTATGCTTTCAAGTCTTGTAAAGGTTTTATGTTGTTTCACTTTACAGTCTTTTGCTCCTTTAAGAAATTATATTTCTTTATAAATAAATGTGAATTGAATCTTTGAAACTTTAAAGGAGCTAGGGTTTCTGGAGTTCCACATATTGTCTCACTGAAAATTATTTTCATTTACAGTATTTAAAAAAAAGATAAGTGATATGCTGAAGTCATAAGTATAGATTTAGCACTTCTTATTTGTCTTTAAACCAAACCTTTATTTAATTTAAGGCCTGTTTACGTGTTTCTTTCACTTTGTTTACAAGTTCTCAGAAAACGTAGTCTTCTTTCAGAACCAACATGAAGGTAGATTTGTGTCGTCTTATTCAATCAAAACAAGCAAAAGAAAAACATTTTAAAGTATTTGAATGCAGATATATTTATAAATATAAATATATACCGTAGTTGACATTTAAATCAGATACATTTGAAGTCTGTTTTTCTTTAAAATGCTTTTTTCGATAGAAGTGAAGATTTTTTTTAAAGCAAATTTTTAGATTGAACTATGTCGTAGGACATTTATGTCTTTATTATTTCATCAAAAAAGAAAAAAAAGTCACTTTAATAAAATATTTAAATAATTTTTTTGAGTTTCAACTATATTGTTTGCATTCAATTTTAGCAGAAATATTTTTTAATGACATAAATACCAAAATCTACCTTCATAAAGCAGGGAATGTCATTTTAATTTCTTTGCAGAAACTGATAGTCTACAAAAGCTAATACTGGTTATTTTCATTAAACATATAAATGGATTTGGTTACCTTTATATTAAAAAAAAGGTTTGGACTCATATTCTCTCCAGAGTTTAAATTTCGATTTTGTTACCACAAAATAAAAATCCTTTTAAGCAGACCTCAAAATATAACAGACCAGAAACTGTAATAATGACTAAATAATAAAATGACTCAACCAAGTCTTTACTGAGGAAAATTCCTTAAGAAGAATATTTACACCTATACAGGACTGCTCTTAAAAACAATGGAGAAAAAAAAAATAGTTTTAGAATCATCATTAAGCTTGGCGGCTTCCAGGTTTATCACAAAGGCTCCAGTGCAACCACAAAAATAAAATAAAAGACACAAAGAGCACAACTGGACTATTGTTTTTCAGCCACATTCTCAGCCAATCAGGGAGCACTGCAGGATGTCAGTCTTCTTCAAAGCGGATGTGCTTGTTGGCCTCCTTGGTTCGGGCAATGATGATTTTCTCAGCTTTGGAAATGAGCTAAAAAAAATAATAAAGCGAGAAGAAAATTAAAATGAAATGCAGGACAAAGAGCTTGGAGCTGCACTACCTATAGGATAATTTTATGTGATACACAAATTGGATTCTAAATCCTAGAAACAGTGGCGCCTCCTGATGTGTTTCATAGTGGTGGCCAGATGGGGCCACTAAAATACTTGGGGTGGCACACTGACACTAAAAGCCATCATTTCAGGGTTTGAATCTACTATTGTGGTAAACCTGTCTGTAGAAATCATAAAGATTTAAGTAAACATCTACTCAGATCTGGGTTTATTGTGTGATTTTTAATGTTACATCCCTGGCTGTGCATAATGGGATGAAATGCTAAACTGAAGCTCGGGCAAATTATTCAACAGCAGCAGATTTCCTGTAACACTAACTTTTGATTGAGTTTGAGGATTGTTATCGATTTAGGACCATCTTTTCGTCATATTGTCCCAACTGAGCAGGAAATCTCTGCAGCTCCTCTAGAGTTCTCATGACATCGTGTTTTCCTTGCCTCTCCTATCAGCTAAGGTGGAATGTCGTGTCTTGGAAGGTGTGTGGCTGTCTTTCAGAGGATTAACCTGACTTGGTAACAAACTCAGGATATTGTTTATAACCTGAACTGAGCTTTAAACTTTCCCTGATCTGTCTCCCTAATGGTGTTTGCTTACTAATGTTCTATAACAAACATCTGATGCTTTCACTAAACAGCTACGATGTGGTTAGATGAAATTACACACACATTGTGACTATATTTACTGGTTACAGTATAGCTACAGAAAGTTGGTTGCTTTGGTTTCCTTATTTAATTATTTTAGAGAGAAAGGAACTAAATACAAACTACCACCACTTGCTTTTGAGATTTTTATTTCTGCATTTTAAAAATTGGGCATCACTTTCCTCTCACTAAGTAATTATGCACTGCCCGTCCTGGCCATCACAAATAAAAAAGGATAATGGTTTGTTCAGAGCTGCAATGATCTGAACCAACTAAATGTAGTGCGATTCAATTGCAACAAAATGATTGAATTTTTGGAAATCGGCTTCACCTTTTCTGTGCCTCGCTTCTTCTCCCTGGGCCGATTCAGTTTGACCTGGCGGTCCACCAAAATCTTCTGCCAGTACCGTTGTTCATTGTCACCTTTTACACAAAATAAAATCCAAAATAACAATAAGAATACAATCAAACTCGAAACATTTATTGTTTTTGTGTTTTAGAACAAGCTATGTCTTCAAACACACTTCAGCTAAATAAATTAATATAATATGTTTCTCTAGGTGAAAACCTTCCTACCTTTAAGAATCTCAAGCTTCCAGCCATGCTCTCTTAGCAGCTGCTCCTTAGCGTTGCTGATGGCGGTAGCGTCCTCTGGAGAATGGAAGCGTACGTGGCCTTCTACATCTCCCTCCAGGATGTCAACATAAGCAACTGGAGCTACTTTGGACAAGGCATCCTATACATCAACAGAAGAAGAGATAAATCAGCACAATACTACACAGAACCAAGATTATTTAAACTGAATTTGTTTCAGTGAATTAAAAGAGCTTCACCTTTTTGATAGAATTTTATGATTTAAATAAAATTCTTTTGTTACTTTTTTACGATTGTGCTTTACATCTCATGTAAAAAAAAATATCAAAACAGACTTTATAAGAAAATAAAATTTAAAATAGATTTTTTTTTCGCACTAAAATGTTACTCTATACAGAGCCACAGAAGACTACTACCATTTTCACAGATCATCGACAGCCTCCACAAGGAGGGTTACCTATGGAAGAGGATTAGGGCCACTGAAAAAATAAAAAGTTAACTAATTTTAAAATTTTATTTCAGTTTAATATGAGAAAAAAAGTCAGAATTCTGACTATTATCCCAGATTTCTGACTATTATCTCAGAAACTTTACTTTTTCCCCATATTAAACTAAAATAAAATTTAAAAATTAGTAATTTATTTTTTTTTTTCCAGGTGCCCTAATCATTTTGTAGTCAGCCACAAAAGCCCATTGCTAAAGAAGCTAGCTATTCAGAGTTCTGCATCCATAAATGTCAATGAAAAGTTCAGTGGAAGGAAAAAATACAGTAGCCCTTTGACCGGACAAAGATGATGTGAAGGCTTGTAATGCTACCAGCAGTGATACATGCCAAGCCACAAAACACTGTGTTAAAAATCAATTTTCACTTCCTTTTACTTTACTTTGCTAACAAAAAAAATTATTGTTTTTTCATTAGCCATCAGCCATGATTTTCAAAACAACAGAGATGAATACCTGAAACATGTTGATGTGAATTGATAGAAGTTTCCACTTGGATGAATTACTAAATAATCGTTAGCTTGGCCACAATGTTCAAATACCGTAATTTTCGGACTATTAGCCGCACCTGAATATAAGCCACAGAAGCTAAATTGCATGATTTGTACATATACATGCCGCACCGGACCATAAGCCGCAGGTTTTTTATGTTTAATATCCGTCTTTCTGTCTCGTACCACTCGCGGTAGAAGTCTGCTTCCGGAGGACCTCCGCATTCCCTCGCGTGCGGCTACCGTACTTGTGTGTTGAAGCAAATGTGACGTCAACATGGTGGATGGTAAAATCCATAGATTTAGGTATTACCCTAGTGGCCGTTAGCTGTAAAAGTCCATAGATAAGCCGCATTGTTATATAAGCCGCAGGCTCGAAAAACGGGGAAAAAGTCGCGGCTTATGGTCTGAAAATTACGGTACACTGGATGACATTTGTGTGAACTTAAAAAAGCTGGTCTAATCCAGTGAGTGAATCAGCTACTTATTGTGATTTCATGGGGTCAGATGGAGTAATTAAGGTATACTGTACCTTGATGATCTTCCTCCCTGGTATCGGCTTGCTGTCTGTAATCTTTACGATCACACCGCTGACAAACTGAGGACCCTGTTTAGTTTCCTTTTCAGTTTTGCTGCTCAAATCAACTGTAAAATGAAAGGAGAGAAAAAAAAACCAAATTGAACAACCAGGTATTAAAATATCAGCCAACTTATTTTGATAGATTTTTTTTATTTAAACATCTGAAAAAAATACCTTACTTTAGATTAGTAATGTATAAATTACCCATCATAATCAATACTTTTAAATTAGGGCTGAGATATTTTATCGGATTAATCAAGATAATCTATTATTGATATAATCGTCAACTAACTTGGTAATCAATTGTCAACTGGAGTATAGAGAATGAAAAATATACCCTTTTAGAGCAGTAATTATACAAAGACTATAAAAAAAGCTGAAACTATTTTTCATTTAAGATAAAAAAAACCTTTTTCATCTTTCAATATGCTCTATCCAGGAATCCTCAACACGAAAAGTTTGTTTCACCTGATTTAATTAAGCAAAAAGTCTTCTTTAAGGAACATTTTGCTATCCGATTATTAATTGATTAATCCAAAAAAATAAAATAAATAAAATCGACAGATTAATCTATTTGCTAAATATTCATTAGCTGCAGCCCTATTTTAAATATTTATATTGTTAAATGTATCCACTCCTGTGTATGTGGAAATGATCTCTGAAACCAGTGGGCATTTCAGGGGTTTTTATTCATTGTTGACATAGTGTAATAAATTGTTCTGTCAGGGTTTCAAATAGTGTTGCATTGATGCCATTTTTTGGCGTGGATACCCGATACCTAGCTGTGCAGTATTGGCCGATACCATCTGTTTGAAATTGATGTGTGTGTATATATATTAAGAACTGCATACTACTTGGATGTAAAATAATTGCCATCATGGCTTTGTCAAGCTGCTGCCTTCCTTTGTGAAGAAGGAAAAAGACTAATACAAAGTGAATCCAGTAGAACTTTTTATTGCCTACCTGGAATGGGCGACAATAGTTGCATAAACTTTCGGCTCTCAAAATGGTATAAGTGCCCTACTAGTTGGTACTCGCTGATACCGATATCACTATTTCAGTGCTGGGGCCCCGCCCGATACTGGTATCGGTGCAACACTAGTTTCAAAACAGTCAAACTCTAAAATCACCGTTTCCATCTTGAGTAACATCGTCCTCCTTGTGATTGATCTGGTTGATGCACTTCTTTAGTGACGCCATGCTGCGCTTCTGCAGAACCAGGTACTCCTCTTTCAGCTGAAGCCACTGCTTCCTTTAAGCAGAAACAAACAGAATACATAAGCATGCTGTGATGAAATGCTGCCAGGGATTTCACCAATTATTGAAACAATGAGGAATTGAAAAGGGACGTAGGGGCCTACTTTGACAGAACACGTAATGGGATGACTTCTTCCCCAATTTTTAACTTCTCTTTGTGTTTCTTTTTCCTCTTCCTCTTTGCCTTGACAGCTGTGTCATCCCTGTTTTCTTTCCCCTTCTCAGTGTTTTCCTCTTTGACACTTTTGTTGGGCAGATCTGTGAGGAGGGAGGACACAGGTAAAAATCCAGCTTTTTTTTCTTAACAATTGGTCAATGAAAAGGCCGCCTTACACATCCTCTTTATGTCCATAAATATCATCTAATTGAGGAATTTCATGGAGAAACTTTACATATACAATTGTGCTCACACATAGAGCCCAATGTGTCTGTTGACCGAGGTGTTTACAGAAAAACTATATATTTGGCTGCTGCCATCCATTTTCATCAAATAATATTGTATATTTTTCAGTGTTTGATGTTTGTAGCTGTGATGCTTTCTCTGTTGCAGGTGTAGCAGCAGACACGTAGGATGTGTATTTGTTTTATCTTTCTTTCTCTCCTCTATTCACATCCCCTTCTGCCCTCCGTTTTAGCCACCATGTCTGTTGTATTTGAAATAATCCCGTAATATTGCATGGTAATCATCAAGCGGGTCATCAAGGGTGTGGATTGAGGGGGGCCATGGAGACACTCCAGGACTGTTTGGAATGCTCTGACTGGAACATATTCAAAGCTGCAACTACTTATTATAACAGAATCCATTTAGATGAGTATGCCACGACTGTCAGCCTACATAAACAAATGCATTGAGGACGTCAGCATCCAAAAGAACATCACCACCTGGACCAACCAATGATCCTGGATGAATGGGGAGGTTGGGAAATCGCTAAAAGCACGGAACTCAGAATTCAAGTCTGAGAAGAGTGGTGGGAACAGCAGATAGGATCATCTGGGCTCCTCTTCCCTCCATTAAAGACATTTCATCCCAGCGCTGCGTGTCCCGAGCCCATAACATCATAAATGACCCCTCACATCCCCAACATGGAATGTTCTCCCTGGGGCCTTCTGGGAAGAGAATTTGCAGCATTCGATGCAGGACCAGCAGGATCTGCAACAGCTTTTCCCCGCTGCCACCAGTCTGTTGAAAACTCTAATCAAGTCACAAATCAAGACTCTGCATCACACTCTAAACAACATATCTGCACTACATGGTATATCTTCAAAACAGAACAGTGTTTTCTACCTTATTTTGCACCACATCTATTTATTTTTCCACTGCTCTGAACCTTTCAAATCAATGCCTTTTGCATCATGTCTCTCCTACACTGTTTACACTATTCACTGCTGCACTTTATAAATGGAAATGTTCATTTTAATTACTAGGCCGCTCATTCACTGTCGCAAAGCTTTTTGTAACGAAATTTTGTTTTGTGTAAACTCTTTGTATACAAGATCACAATTAAGTTTATCCAAGTCTAAGTAAAATACATTTCTGTTAAATTGATGATTTTGGCCTTTAGCATGCGAAAAACCTAAATGGTGCTCAGAAAATGTTTATATCACATTACACTAATAAAACACTAAAAAAAAGTCCTGTTAAGGTTGAAATACATCAGTCTGAGTCTACAAGTATCACCTTTTAGATCAACTACTGAAATAAACTAAATCTATTAAATTAAATAAATCTGATTATGCTATATTCCCATTTATTTAGAGGCAGCTCTACTAAATATAAAAGCTCTATTGGTGGAAGTCAAAATGTCCAACTTCTATGTTGGTAATTTCAACTGGAACGCCGTCTAATAGAATTATAAGACAGAAAGTCAAGACTCTAAATCAACAGTACTTAAACTTACCTACTTTGAGGGCTTATTGCAGTTTTTTTTAATAATTTGTCTCACTTTAAGTTGGTATTTCAGCTATTACTTTGGCTGATAACGTAATATGTGCAGAATATAACCTTATAACAGAGGTTTTTCATTGCTGTGGTTCTAATAGTTGAAGGGGTGGTCATTAAGAAAACAATGGACCACATTTACCCCCAAGATTATGTCACTGCAACTTCTCTGATTCTAGTTCTGAGGACAAAAGAAGGACAATGCTGCTATGTAATAACTTACAAAGCTGGTGTGTGTTGTTGTCAGTTCATTTTCTAAAAAGGAACTGTCTGAATCCTCCAGTAAACTTTAGGCATAAATTATGCAATACTTTTGGGGTGAATATTAGTTGCCCATAAGTAGCAAACCTGAAGAAACAAATGAAACAGCAATAAGTGAGAACTTACTCATGTTGGCTTCATCTTTCTCCTCGTCTCCTGTTTCACTTTCACTGATTTTCCTAATCTTAGCAGGAAGATCGCTCTCTGATCCCTCCACAGTCTGTGAGCGTCGCCGTTTTTTCTCTGAGAACTTCCCTGCCGTCTTCTGAGTGCCAGTGGACTCTGGATCGCAATCTGCTGTCAGATGCTTCCTCTTTTGCTCCGACGGTTCGGCTTCCATTGCTGCCTCTTGGACCTTTTCTGCCGATGCTTTTATTGCTACAGCTCCATCCTTCTTTTTTTTCTTTTTTCGCTTTTTCTTCTCCTCTTCTCCTATTAGGGCATGACCACCCAGTGAGATGTTTTTAAAGACCTTCAAGAATTACAAATATTTTGAAAAACTAAACATAGAAAACTTACTGGGCTGTGGATTGTCCACAGAAAAGGGAATAGGTTTCCTGTTTAATGTTTTGGGGAAAATCCCTGGCTTCCTTGGAGCATCTTCAGGAGGATTGTTCAACATCTATTAAAAAAATAAAAATAGATCATACAGCTTCTTCTCCACAAAACCTGTGAATAAAGGTCATGATACATTTTTTCTTCATCTTAATGTCTTAAAAGTCTACATAACATTTCTAAGAAGAGCCATACGTTTCAGGCTACATTCAAAATACAAAGTGCTAATGTAAAGAAGTTTAATCTCCCTAGTTTTAGATATGTTCAACAGTTTTCAGGCTGATTTATACTCAGAAACCAGGTCGTCTGCGTGTGTCGCATTGAATGCCCCTTCCGCAGACACTCTGTTGCACCTCTCCAAAATTGTAGCTGACCGCAGACAGTGCCGCAGACAGGAGGCCTCTGATTGGTCACATCTACATCCACTCTACACTATGCATATTTCCTGTTTGGTACCTTAAAGGCTTGTTTTGTTTGTATAGCCGCCATTGTGGAAAACGGCTCGTGAAGTTGGACCAGCTAGAAGAGCGAGGTGCGCGAGAACGCTGGGACCATTTTTCCACCTGGACCCCCGCTCTTTTTCGCCCTCATGTCCCTCCATGTCGCACAAACTTGCCCCCACTTCCTCACCGCCTCGGCCGTATCTAGACCCACAGCTAGTTCCCGATTTTCCCTCTTGCATTGTGGCGTGGAATAACATAGCGTAGACCATGTTTCAATATTGGGCATAAATCAAAAATATCTGAGACTAGCTCACTGCAACACACTGCTGCGGAGAGTATAAACAGCCCTTTACATTACGGTTAATTAGAATAGAATAGAATTCAACTTTATTGTCATTACACTGTCAAAAGTACAAAGCAACGGAATTTAGTTTGCATAGAGAAATAGTATAAATATTTAATTACATGTGTACAGAAACTATTTATGTATGGACTATAAATGGTATAAACAGAGAGTAATTGGCATTCTGGCACCAGATTGTGTAAAAAATGACTTATTGCAGAATAAGCTGCAGAAAAAACTTTAAAGTCTATTGAAATAACATTTCATCTCCAAATTCTAAATAATTTTCAGAAAAAATAAAAACTGAACTCTTAAAAAACTAGAACAACTCATTATAAGGAACAACTATGTATTGTGTTCCCCCCCTGCAACTTTGAAAATTAGCATTGACTCTGTAAATGTTCTCTAATGTGTGTTTTTTTTAAAATGCAAACTAAAATAAGTAGAACATTCTCCATTTCCCACCTCGATAGCTTTCTCTGCTTGTTCCTCTTTCTCAAACTCGACGAAGGCGAACCCTTTCGAGTCACCGGTACTTCTGTATCTGGGAATACTGACGTAAACCACATTCCCGCATTTCGTGAAAACTCTTTCAATCCAGCTGTGGGTCACGTCCTTGGGTAAGAGTTCCTTAAAGGGGAAGATACATAGGAGCACAGGTGGGAAGGTATAGAAATAAAATGTCAAAATCAAATAATTATGTTAACATTCTGCAATCATCATGAGCCGCAATACAAACTCCATTACTTTTAGAAAGTACTTGTTCAGGATGTGCAACACATGAAATCAAACGTTCATACGACACCATAATTCTCATAAAAGAGCAGTAAGCATTCAGGCAGTTGGAGGTAAAATAAATCAAATTCAGGGTTACATTGTAAATCCAATTTGCTTGCTTTTAAACAGCCATGCAGTCCTGTTCAATCAGTCATCGGAAAACGGAAAGACTGCTTCACAATGTGCAACTCTAGTTCTATCACAACATGACCTTCCTCGTGAAACAACAGGCTGGGCAAGCTGTGCATTAATCAGAAGCAGCAAAGATGAGCTTCAGAGATGAAAAGCTCAGGAAAATCTATCAGCAGACAAATACAGCTCCTTTATCCGCCAGTGAGTTAAACAAATACCACGATTTATTTATTTCCATCCAGGTAATTTATGTTCTGTTCCCTCAGCTCTAAAAGGTGGAAGTGAACAGCACTACACCTCCAAAAAACAAACCCCCTCTGAGGAGCCCTTATACTACCATCTTGTTCCCAAAACAACAGGGGACATGAAACTGGCTTGTGGAATGTGTCCCACGTTATGTTGGAAACCCAGGGCTCTGCAAGCGAAACGCAGGAGATCACCTAAAGACATCATCTTACAGATCCACAACTACTTTTATGAAACATCCTCAGGATGGAGAGTGAATAGAGCAATAATCACTGCTCAGTGCATAAAGCATACCCATCAACAATGGGGCGACACGAAACTCCCACTCCAACACCACAACCTTTTATCCTAAAAAGTGTGGAGCAGACAAACTGAAATTAACTTGGAAAAATTGTGTGAAAACATGCGAAGGGCTTTTAAAATCCTGGGTAATGTCAGAAAGTCGTGAAAACAAAAAAGGGGTGAATTGTTCATGCAATGATTTGATCTGTATAATTAAAAAAATGCATTGTCTGCCTAAAGAAAGTAAATAATGATAACATACAAAAAAAAAGCAAGTATGTTTTGTAACGTAACAAAATGTAAAATGCTCAAACGGTAAACAAGCTTTTCCATGCCACTATGAAACAAAACAAAACTAATGAGGTCCGGTTTAACAAAAGTTAATGAAAACCAATAGAAGAGTCGTTATCATGGATCCCTTTCTTATCAGAAGTGTAATAAACTATTAATAAAAAGAACCAACATCTCAATATTGAGAAAGCCTTTTAAATTTCACTGTCTAAACAACATAAATAAATGTAAGTTATGCATTTTATTTCAAACTAACACACAGGAATAAACTGTTTTACCACATAAACTGTCCGGCTGTCAACATTATTCGGTGGGTTTCCAAGCGGATGACGTCGCCTTATTTTAGTTCCTTCAAGGTTAATCTGTAATATGAAAAAAATTAACAGAATTAAGTCACTCACATAAACCATAACCTTCAAAGTGAAAGACCTGTAACAACAATTGGAGAAGTTACCTGCACTACTGATGAATTCTTAATGGCTCTGGCAATCAGCTTGGTGTCCGTCGTCAACTTCTTCATGCGGCTGAAGCTAGTCAGCACAGATATGTCAACATCTGCAGCAGTAACAAAAACAAAGAAAGGTAAGGTACAAGGTTTAACTTGCTCTCAGTTTCAACGTTTACATTTTAAATCTTGATACTAGATCCTTACATCCATTGTCGGACTCATCTATGAGCTTTTTCAGGAAGCGGTCCTTGTGCAGGTTGACGTCTCCAAACCAGAACTCCACCTGCCTCTTAATGTCGCTGAGCAGCTGTTTCACACGAGACCTCTTCTTTTTTTCTGTCTCCTTGTTGCTGTCATCAGGTTTAGCTGCTCCATTATCTCCTTCTTCTTGCTCTGTGTTCATCTTCCTTAAGGTGGGACAGTAGTTCCATTATTCAACAAACAAAACATACAAAATAAAAAAAAATAATACGGCTATTTACGGCTATCAACAGATTAAACACAAACCAAGCTTTAAAACCATCTCTAAACTAATTATTTCGCATTTAAATATCACAATCATTGGCAGGACTCACCTTGTTTAGGGTAAGGCTTCGGCTACAAACACATAAAAATGATGCTTTAACGGCTACAACTCCACTAATAACACACAGCGGGATCTTTTAGACATGGCGCACAGTTGTAACGTCACAAAAACGAGCACCGATTCCGATTACGAATTTCAAAATAAAAGTCCAAATCAAATTCTTTATTTTGTTAAAAATGTTTATTTAATAAATACAGTTAAGTCACATAAAATAAAATAAAAACATTAACATAAAAAAGGAGAACATATACTGTAGTTTAATGCAGCTCTGATTAAATAACATTTTTTAAACCGTACAAGAACATTTTACCCATACACTTCAAGTTTTTTTTTTCAGTTACTTTCATTTTAATGTTTGTATATTTGTGAGGACTTTACCCCAATTGCGATAATTCTTTATTTCCCGCAGCATTTTTTCTTTTCTTTTTCTTTTTGAACCGTTAGGTCTTATCGTATACAGTATGGCCGGTTAGCTCAGTTGGTCAGAGCGTGGTGCTAATAACGCCAAGGTCGCGGGTTCGATCCTCGTACGGGCCATCTGTTTTCATCCAGCATTAAGGTTTTTTGTGCAGCTTATATTGATATATAATAGCATTTTGACCACCTGCATCGAATCCCTTCATAATGCCTATATTCCAACAAGTTGACTGGACACTGCATCTGATCAGTGGCAATGCAGCAACCTTGTAGTGTTATATAAGAGTAATAATAAATAAATCATGTGTTACTCCACATTTTGGTAAGCCACTTTTTTGTTTTTGATTACTACCTCAAAAAAAAAACCGCACACATCTCCTTGTTTTTTTGTTTATCATGAATTCGTTGTAAATTCAGATTATTAAGGGAGACCTGGGAGAAGGCAACTTTTTTTTTTTGATTTGTTACTAGATGGTTTGGATTAGACAAAACCCTATTTTTATACAGTAAAATAACAGCTGTGTTTCAACAGTCAAACCCATTCACAGGTAATTGAAAATGCTAAATTTTTACTATTTGCATCTGAATGCAGAGTCTGATGTTGCAACTTATCCTGGACCTTTAAACCATATAGGTTTTAGCTTAATCACAAAAAAACTAACAACCAAAATAGAACTCAAGCAAAAATACGTTCAAACAGTATTTTTCCAATAAATCCACATACTCTGATGCTTCTCTCTGGAAAAAAAGGGTATTTGGTCTTCCCAGTTGCAATACAACAGACATAAATTACCTACTTTCACTGAATAACTTTAAAAAAATTTCTTCATCCCGGTCAAATGTCTTTACCCTGCTTTTTTCTGTCCACCTGAGATCTCTTTTTATGCCTCTCCTTTGTTAGCTACCTGTCATCAGGTGAAGTAAGACTCTGCATACTCAGAGAAGCACAGACTGGAGTGGGTGTACATGGGAGGGGGATGACAGGAGGAGACGTGATGGAGCAGAGATTCTTATTTAGTGACCTGTAGTTTTTTTTACTGATCATTTCATATGCAAAAAAAAAAAAAAAAAAAAGATGTTAGATGCAGAAATGGCCTACTATAAATGATGGTCTCACTGTTGCTTTAGCATCCCTGCTAGGGAGGCCCCCTATGTGCTGCATATAGGGCGTACTCACTTTTTGGGCCACCCTGCACACATATACAGGTGCTGGTCATAAAATTAGAATATCATGAAAAAGTAGATTGATTTCAGTAATTCCATTTAAAAAGTGAAACTTGTATATTATATTCATACATTACATACAAACTCATATATTTCAGATGTTTATTTTGTTTAATTTTGATGATTACAAATGACAACAAATGAAAATCTCAAATTCATCATATCAGAAAATTAGAATATTACTGAAGACCAATAAAAACAAAGGATTTATAGAAATGTTGGCCAACTGAAAAGTATGAACATGAAAAGTATGAGCATGTACAGCACTCAGTATTTAGTTGGGCCTCCTTTGGCCTGTATTACTGCAGCAATGCGGCGTGGCATGGAGTCGATCAGTCTGTGGCACTGCTCAGGTGTTATGATAGCCCAGGTTGCTCTAATAGTGGCTTTTAGCTCTTCTGAATTGTTGGGTCTGGTGTATTGCATCTTCTTCTTCACAATACCCCATAGAAAATCTATGGGGTTAAGATCAGGAGAGTTTGCTGGCCAATTAAGAACAGGGATACCATGGTCCTTCAACCAGGTACTGGTAGCTTTGGCACTGTGTGCAGGTGCCAAGTCCTGTTGGAAAATGAAATCTGCATCTCCAAAAAGTTGGTCAGCTGCAGGAAGCATGAAGTGCTCTAAAACTTCCTGGTATGTGGCTGCGTTGACCCTGGACCTCAGAAAACACAATGGACCAACACCAGCAGATGACATGGCACCCCAAACCATCACTGACTGTGGAAACTTTACACTGGACTTCAAGCAACGTGGATGAAGTGCCTCTCTTCTTTTCCTCCAGACTCTGGGACCTTGATTTCCAAAGGAAATGCAAAATTTACTTTCATCAGAGAACATGACTTTGGACCACTCACCAGCAGTCCAGTCCTGTTTCTCTTTAGCCCAGGCAAGACGCTTCTGACGCTGTCTGTGGTTCAAGAGTGGCTTGACACAAGGAATGCGACAGCAGAAACCCATGTCTTTCATACGTCTGTGTGTGGTGGTTCTTGAAGCACTCACTCCAGCTGCAGTCCACTCTTTGTGAATCTCCCCCACATTTTTGAAGGGGTTTTGTTTCACAATCCTCTCCAGGGTGCGGTTATCTCTCTTGCTTGTACACTTTTTTCGACCACATCTTTTCCTTCCCTTCGCCTCTCTATTAATGTGCTTGGACACTGAGCTCTGTGAACAGCCAGCCTCTTTAGCGATGACCTTTTGTGTCTTGCCCTCCTTGTGCAAGGTGTCGATGGTCGTCTTTTGGACAACTGTCAAGTCAGCAGTCTTCCCCATGATTGTGTAGCCTATAGAACTAGACTGAAAGACCATTTAAAGGCTTTTGCAGGTGGTTTGAGTTAATTAGCTGATTAGAGTGTGGCACCAGGGGCCATCAATTTTGAACCTTTTCACAATATTCTAATTTTCTGATATGATGAATTTGAGATTTTCATTTGTTGTCATTTGTAATCATCAAAATTAAACAAAATAAACATCTGAAATATATGAGTTTGTATGTAATGTATGAATATAATATACAAGTTTCACTTTTTAAATGGAATTACTGAAATCAATCTACTTTTTCATGATATTCTAATTTTATGACCAGCACCTGTAGGTTGTTTAACATTAGCAACCTAAAGTACTTTCTGAATGATCATCTCTCACTCTGCTGTAGAGAAATTTTGATCATAACCACTATACAAGACCAGTTTGTTGTTTGCATACCCCAGTTTGTGTGATGAAATGCATGTTAAAGGAGAATGTTTTTAAATTTATGATATTTTACTATGCAAACAAGGTCAGAGTAAAATTCAAAGGACCAGAAGGTGGTGCCATTAAGTCATTGCTAATCTGTTTCCAGCTTGGCACTGTTTTAACACAAACCTACAGCAAACTGCTAAACCTCCTGCTTATATAAAGGCATTTACATTGGTTTATCATAGGGAAATATGATGCATTTTATTACCTGATTGTTACCTGCCTTTTTTTTTTTTTTTTTTTTTACACAGCTTTACTATCAGAGATGTGTTTTTCTTTAAAAGCACAAATAAAAAGGGTGCATTTTTGTGTCTGGATATTCAATTCTTTCATATGTAAACCTAACCTAGTGTTAAATGGTTGTTTAACATTTGTAGGGGGGGGGGGGGGGGGGTGAAATTCACCCATAAATCTGTTTTGTCTGTTGCAACCCTCACAAAACAATCAGCAGAAAAAATAATCGTTTCTTTTATGTCTTTTTGTCTTCATAGATTCAAAAGAAATCTTTGGAGTTTCTTGCACATATCATCCTCAGTGCAGCACTCTATCCGTCTCTTTATGAGATGCGATAGTTGACTATAAAAGGTCTTTGCCCACTGGAGTTCCAGACAGTCAGTTGACATGTTGCAAACTTTGTGGAGTACAGCCAGTAACTTTTCATTGCTGCTGACCTCGCACCGTTTAAAAACCCATTTTCCCCATTCTTCCCAAAGTTCTTCGTCTGTAAAGTTCACTGCGATACTATCCTGGCCGCACACACTTGCAGACTCTGTCTCATACAGGTTGTTCCATATCAGCCTGCAAGAAGAAGAGATAGAAAAACATGAGCTTTAGAGTTCAGTAAATTATAGAAAATATATCTTCGAAACTAAAACTTACACAATTGTTTGCAGTGGATTTGGTGTCAAATCAGCAAGAGACAGCAATCCTCTGCGGCTCACTCTGTTTCCCTCCAGCCTAATGGAACATGCAATTCATTTTTTGTTATTCATATCCTTTCACATATTTAAATTTTTGACATGTTACTGCTACAAACTTCATTGTGTTTTATTTTGATTATTTTAATGATTAACCAGTACAACGTAATGGAAATTTTCTTCCATTTTTTTAATCAATAAAAAACTAAAAACAGTGATGTGTTTTATATTTAATCCCCTTAATCCCTTGACGTCCATTCTTGCAAATATGCAACAAACCCTTTCTATTACAGTACATACACTGCCAAGATACCATGCATAGCTCCCCAGTGCCACTTTTTAAACATTCAGTGCAGACCTATGAACCTTTGGCGAAGCTTTTCTTTTTTTTTTATACAACTGGTTTATAGTCAGAAACCAGGTCGTCCGCAGACACTCTGGTGCACATCTCCAAAATTGTACTTTTTGAACTGTGTCTGTTTTCATTGACCATTATAAATGTAACAAATCAGTTTGTTTAGCTAAATCCAGTTTTCAAAATTCTTTATGCTTGTACTGTATCTGTACCATGAAAGCCACATACCTTTTCCTTCTACTTAGACTTAGACTTAGACTTAGACTTCTTTATTTGTCATTTTGTATGCACAGGGTGCATACAGAACGAAATTGCGTTACATACAGCTTATGAACGTTGCATTGATATTTCAAATGGCACGAGTTATAGAAAAATACAAAAAGTGCAGCAGTGGTCAAAGTGTGAACAGTGCAGAGGATAAGAGACAGTGTGCAAGTTGCAGTGGTTCAGTGCAAAATGGCATTTGTGCAAAAAATGCGTTATTGAAAAATACAATGAGATGAACAATTTAAAGGGCTAAAAGTTAAAAGTTCAGCAGCATTTGATGCCCGATAATGTGCAATAGGTGCAGAGTTCGGATTGTGGATCAAAGGTTCAACAGTCTGATGGCAGTGGGGAAGAAGCTGTTGCACAACCTGGTGGATCTGCAGCGGATGCTGCGGAACCTCTTTCCAGAGGGCAGCAGGGAGAACAGTCCATGGTGGGGGTGTGAGGGGTCTTTGATGATATTACGGGCTCGGGACACACAGCGCTGTGATGAAATGTCCTTAATGGAGGGAAGAGGAGCCCCAATGATTCCTTCCGCTGTCCTCACCACCCTCCTCACATTCTTCCAGTCAGAAGCTCTGCAGCCTCCACACCACAGAGAGAGACAGCTGGTCAGAACGCTCTCTATGGTGCTTCTGTAGAAGGTTGTGAGGATGGGCGGGGGCAGGCGGGCTCTCCTCATCCTCCGCAGAAAGTACAAGCGCTTCTGTGCCCTCTTCACTAGAGATGAAGTGTTTACAGTCCAGGTGAGGTTGTCCGTGATGTGCACCCCCAGGAACTTTGTGCTGCTGACCACCTCCACAGCTGAGCTGTTGATGAGCAGTGGAGCATGGTGGGGGCGGTTTTTCCTGAAGTCGACGATGATCTCCTTCGTCTTCTCCACGTTCAGGATCAGACTGTTTTCACTGCACCAGTCCACCAGCTGCTCCACCTCCTCTCTGTAGTCCCGGTCGTTGTCGTCCCTGATGAGGCCCACCACCGTGGTGTCGTCCGCAAACTTCACGATGTGATTGGTGGTGAACCTGGGGACGCAGTCATATGTCATCAGGGTGAACAGCAGGGGGCTCAGGACGCAGCCCTGAGGGGAGCCCGTGCTGAGGGTGATGACATCAGAGGTGTTCTGACCGACCCGGACTGATTGAGGTCTGTTGGTGAGGAAGTCCAGCAGCCAGTTTCGAAGGGGTGTGTTGAAGCCCAGATGTTCCAGCTTTCCCACCAGGTGCTGTGGGATGATGGTGTTAAACGCTGAACTGAAGTCCAGGAACAGCATCCGCACGTGGGTGTTCTTCTCCTCCAGGTGGGCCAGGCTCAGGTGAAGAGCAGAGGAGATGGCGTCCTCAGTGGAGCGGTTTCGCCGGTAGGCAAACTGGAACGGGTCGAGTGTTGGGGGGAGACTGGAGACGATGTGTTCCTTTACCAGCCTTTCAAAGCACTTCATCATGATGGGAGTCAGTGCGACGGGCCGGTAGTCGTTGTAGCAGGTGACTTGAGGTACTTAATGCTTATGTTCTATTTTGTACTGGTCTATCCCATACAATTCCAATAAAATACTTTAAAGTTTGTAACTGAGTCATGACAAACAGTAAAATAGTTCTGGGATAAGAAGTACTTTTGCAAGGCACCGAGGTGCTAAATAAGGCACTTGTATAAAAATCAACATGCACATTTGGTTCCGTTTCTTCTGCATCTCATTTTCATAAATAAATATATTACAACTGTGAGTAATTTCAGTATTTCCTCTTTTTTTAAAACAGAGGTTGGAGAAAGAAAGGCATCCCACAAGCTTATTTCTCAAGCTAACAATCAGCTTTCACTTCTCTACAACATTTTACGTGGTATGCTTATTCACCCTCACAAGTTCTTCCTTACCTCAGTTCTTCAACCTGTTTTTGGACTTGGATTGCAGCATGAATTTCTCACGCTGAAATCTGCTTTCACTTCTCTACAATGTTCTAAGCGGTATGCTTATTCACCCTCACAAGTTGGTCCTTACCACAGTTCTTTAACCTTTTTTCGCACTCGGATGGCAGTGCATAGAGCTTCAAGCTCATCGTCCCCGATGTTTGTCCATCCAAGCCTAAAAAGGAACAGAGTGAGCGACACATTGTTCACATAGGACCTCATGAATGAATTCCTTGAGTTAGAAAAGTATGTTTCATTTTATTATTACGGTTTGAATGTGTAAGAGTATCTACTCTTGCTGCTTCCAAACAGATGAACAAAATCTTACCCAAGGTAGGCTATTTGTTCCGAGACCTTCAGCACATCAGCAATGACCTGAACCGCATCCATATCCAAATTGTTTTCACCAAGCCTTTGAGATAACAACATTCCATTAGCGGATTCATTAGTGTGAATATTTTAAGACCTAATTATAAATACAGCGGCCTACTAAGGTCTTCTGACACCTTTAGTTTATTCAACCAGAAACATTAAGTAATTTTGTTGGAACTTTTTCTAAAAGAGCAACACAAAGTAGAGCATGTGAAATGGAGGATAACTAATACATTCACAATATTTTTTTTAACAAAAATATAAAAAATGTGATTGGATTTTTATTGAGCCCACTTTATTCAGTAAATAGCCATCAGATGGACCTAATTATTTTTCCTCTAATATAATTTCTATCAGGATTGTCCTCCATTTAGTTTTGCCATCATCCTATCTATCTATATCTATTTTTACCATTACCCATAACCCTGCTGAAGAAAAAGCACTCATAAGTGCTGCCACTACCGTATTTCACCACATTGTATTATTTATACCACACATGACATTTAATGTGGGCTAAAAAGTTTAGTAGTTTCCGTAGTTTTAGTAGTTTCTATCTCATCCCACAAGAGCATCTTCTACATGTCTGCATTTTTCCCTGTCTAGCTCAAGGCCAATTGCAAATATGACAGTATTGTTGTTGTTTCAGCTATTTCATAGAGGCCTAATTTGTAGAGGGTACCTTTAGTGGTTGCTCTATTTGCATAAATCAGCTGAGGTGTGGCTCTTTGCAGTTCTTCCAGAATCACCATAAGCCTTTTGGCTGCTACTCCGATCAATACATTCCTTGACCAGTATCTACTTTAAAGGTATAGTGGAGGATTCTCTTGAATTTATGATAAGACCAGCCCTCTCCACTTAAAAAAAAAGCACATGCACAATCCTGTACCCGCTAACGAGAGGGAACGCCTATTAAACACTTGCGAGAGCATGGACTAGCCCATTTCTTCTTGCGCACGCTCTGTTTAAAAGTTACTGCTTGCATCAATTATACATAACCTGGCAGCAGCCAGATTGATGTCTAGATCTGAGTTGAGTTCTACATTGTCAATCTGGGATGTGTGCCATTTAGTCTGTCCATGAAAAGGAGGGATGTTTTGTACAATATTTTCAGCTGATTGGGTGACGTGCCAGCTAGTACCCACCTTCTACAGTATGCTTTCAGCCAATTGTAGCAGCTAATCGTGCCAGGAATGACAGGTGAGAGTGTTTTCACAACTACCGGAGTAGACTGATAAATCTAACTTTTTCCAAATCCGGCTCCTTTTTGAGAAAAAGATATTGTCAATTATCAATAGGCGAGTCCTCCAGCATGTTTGTCATGCCTTGGCAAGGCCCTTCTGTCTGTTGTCATTCTTACATGTCCCACGCCAAAAAACATTGCTGGCATGTCATTGGTTCGACACGCTGGTTGTTACGAGAGGAACGTTTTAGCGGGAGTATTTCAAGATGGGTTTGTTGCGAGACTGAAAACCTAGATCTCGCGACAATCCAGATTGCGGCGCAAGGTTAGCTCATACTGGCTTACTTTCCAAAAGAAGATTTGCAATTTTTCCACTATGTCAGACTCACCACCAGTGATGGGACTAACGGCGTTGAAACTAACGCCGTTACTAACGCCGTTACCTTGTTTTAGTAACGAGTACAGGTGCTGGTCATAAAATTAGAATATCATGAAAAAGTAGATTGATTTCAGTAATTCCATTTAAAAAGTGAAACTTGTATATTATATTCATACATTACATACAAACTCATATATTTCAGATGTTTATTTTGTTTAATTTTGATGATTACAAATGACAACAAATGAAAATCTCAAATTCATCATATCAGAAAATTAGAATATTACTGAAGACCAATAAAAACAAAGGATTTATAGAAATGTTGGCCAACTGAAAAGTATGAACATGAAAAGTATGAGCATGTACAGCACTCAGTATTTAGTTGGGCCTCCTTTGGCCTGTATTACTGCAGCAATGCGGCGTGGCATGGAGTCGATCAGTCTGTGGCACTGCTCAGGTGTTATGATAGCCCAGGTTGCTCTAATAGTGGCTTTGAGCTCTTCTGAATTGTTGGGTCTGGTGTATTGCATCTTCTTCTTCACAATACCCCATAGATTTTCTATGGGGTTAAGGTCAGGAGAGTTTGCTGGCCAATTAAGAACAGGGATACCATGGTCCTTCAACCAGGTACTGGTAGCTTTGGCACTGTGTGCAGGTGCCAAGTCCTGTTGGAAAATGAAATCTGCATCTCCAAAAAGTTGGTCAGCTGCAGGAAGCATGAAGTGCTCTAAAACTTCCTGGTATGTGGCTGCGTTGACCCTGGACCTCAGAAAACACAATGGACCAACACCAGCAGATGACATGGCACCCCAAACCATCACTGACTGTGGAAACTTTACACTGGACTTCAAGCAACGTGGATGAAGTGCCTCTCTTCTTTTCCTCCAGACTCTGGGACCTTGATTTCCAAAGGAAATGCAAAATTTACTTTCATCAGAGAACATGACTTTGGACCACTCACCAGCAGTCCAGTCCTGTTTCTCTTTAGCCCAGGCAAGACGCTTCTGACGCTGTCTGTGGTTCAAGAGTGGCTTGACACAAGGAATGCGACAGCAGAAACCCATGTCTTTCATACGTCTGTGTGTGGTGGTTCTTGAAGCACTCACTCCAGCTGCAGTCCACTCTTTGTGAATCTCCCCCACATTTTTGAATGGGTTTTGTTTCACAATCCTCTCCAGGGTGCGGTTATCTCTCTTGCTTGTACACTTTTTTCGACCACATCTTTTCCTTCCCTTCGCCTCTCTATTAATGTGCTTGGACACTGAGCTCTGTGAACAGCCAGCCTCTTTAGCGATGACCTTTTGTGTCTTGCCCTCCTTGTGCAAGGTGTCGATGGTCGTCTTTTGGACAACTGTCAAGTCAGCAGTCTTCCCCATGATTGTGTAGCCTATAGAACTAGACTGAAAGACCATTTAAAGGCTTTTGCAGGTGGTTTGAGTTAATTAGCTGATTAGAGTGTGGCACCAGGGGCCATCAATTTTGAACCTTTTCACAATATTCTAATTTTCTGATATGATGAATTTGAGATTTTCATTTGTTGTCATTTGTAATCATCAAAATTAAACAAAATAAACATCTGAAATATATGAGTTTGTATGTAATGTATGAATATAATATACAAGTTTCACTTTTTAAATGGAATTACTGAAATCAATCTACTTTTTCATGATATTCTAATTTTATGACCAGCACCTGTAATCTAACTAATTACTTTGACTGTAACTATAACGCAGTTACCATTGCAGACACCCCGTTACTGCGCGTTACTCAGGTCGCACAATGAACCTTTTTTCATGATAGGACTCGTGCGCAGCTGCGTGAAGCTGACACCCCACCCACGTCAAAAAACTCTGCAAATAGACTGAATGGTTAGTGCAACGTTAGTGCAGATTTGTGCAGAAAAAAATATTGTTTGTGCTACTTTTGTTTAAGAGATATTAAAGATTATTTTTTAGGTCATCAAGAGGTGCGCGCCTTGTCATGAGAGAGGGGAGGATGAGATTCCGTCTGTCAGTTGAAAAGGTGGGTGTTTCTGCTGGTGGGTGTTAACGTACAGCACACACAGAGAGATGGAGAGTGAGGATGACTCCAGCAGCAAAACAGCGTTTTCCACATGGAAATACCGGTGTTACGTAGAGCTGCGTTTCCCCATCACATAACGGTTTCCTCTGCATCTCCACACAGCGCAGGCGGCAAGAGTCACCGCGCAAGCGGCAGGAAACGCGCATGCTCGCTAAAGGCGCGCAACAGTCGCTCTGTGCTCGCGCCACAGGAGAACTATGGAGAGCGTGAACGATCAAATGAACCTGACAACAGCCAGAAATGATAGCCTATATGGAGAAAGGGAGAAATCTGGATGGATGGATGGATGGATGGATGGATGGATGGATACTCTGCCTTCTCAACCTACTGTATTTTTTATTTTAAACATTATTTGATGGCCTTTGTGGCAGGGATGGAGATCCATATTTTATGTCACACGCAGAGTATAGATCTAGATAGATAGATAGATAGATAGATGGATAGATAGATGTTGCAGTATCTATAACAACCCAAACACACAGGATTTCAGAATTAGACATCCCCAGTTATTAATTTCATATACTCACCAGATCTGAATGTCCTGTTATAAAACTTCACATCGCGTTCCCCCCTGATGTCATTTACGTTGAGTTGCAATAAATGCTAAACTGTCTGCAGGTTCTTGTCTTTGTCGTCCGCTCTATTCAGCTGGCTTTGGAAACACACGGCGAGAAGGTGGGGGCCGGGTGGTGAGGTTTACGGGGGCGAGAAACGGAAAAGTAACGCAATAGTTACTTTTACTAGTAACTAGTTACTTTTATTGTGGAGTAACTCAGTTAGTAACTCAGTTACTTTTTGGGAGAAGTAACTAGTAACTATAACTAATTACTTTTTCAAAGTAACGTGCCCAACACTGCTCACCACCTATAAGGGAAAATGGGGACGAGCACGTAGGACGGCCTTACGTAAACATATCACCAGAATCATTGACAATAAATGGACCACTTATTTTGACAATTCACCCAGAAAAAATAACATCCTCCACTATAGCTTTACGGTTCCAGGTGTATTGCCATTACTAGGAAGGTTTTCCGTTTATTCATACTTTAACCATACTCAGATGATGTATTTAAACATGCTTAGTGAAATATTTGGGATTTTGTTCTAAAAGGCAACTCTTTTTATAACTTGTTTGGTCACTAACGTTCTCTTGCAAACACAAAACAGCTGGAATCATGCTGATTACAAAATACACACAAAATGACTCTAATAATAAATAACGCAACATTTGTGGACCATTGTTTAAGCTGAAGTAAAGGGGATGAACACCAGATCAAGCGGTTTTTGAATTAAACATGAAAAAAGGTAATAATACTCACCAAAGTTTTTGACATCTATGCAGAAACGGTTGAATATCTCTCAGAGAGTCAGCGTTAACTTTAGTCCCTGTAAGATCCAGTTCTGATAGTATTTTATTTTCTGTGATGGTTAAGAAATACTTGATGGCATTATGATCCATTTGAGATAGAGTTTCATCGCTGACATTTACTCTAAGGGATTCTGGGAGGGTTTCGGTTACCATCGAAGGGTCCTGTTGTTCAAACAGGCACTGTAAGCAGTTCAAAATATGTGCTCCATTCTCACAGAGCGTTGTGAGGTCAGTTATAATCTTCCTACGATACATTAGGACTTTTTCCTCCTGGCAACATAGCCCTACTTGTCTTAGAAGGAAATTAGAATTCCGGTCGGAGAAGATTCCAGACAGGAAGCGGCTGAACAGATCCAAGTTTTCATTGTTTTGGTTCTCACCGTACTGAATTGCATCAGGTAAAGGTTCATCCGTCACAGCACAGTAAAGGGCAGCAAAGAACTCTTGAACTGTGAGATGGGCAAAGGAGAAAACCTCTTCAGTGCAGCCAGGCTCTTGTGCAACTGTCTTATCGAGGAAGGTACTAACCAGGCTGCATCCCTCTAACCCAGCCAAATCTTTATCGCTGCCGTAGAACAGTGTTTGATGCTCCATTAGCTTTTTATAGGCAAGTCGACCCAGTTTTATAACAATTTCAGAGAGCTGCTTTATTTTTGCTTGTCCTTGGTCTTCAGGACATGTCTCAGTTCTTGGTTGAGTATGAGAGTGGAGCAAGGCCACTAGATACTGCACATAAATATCCGTCATGGTCTTTGGGCTTTCCCCACAAAGGTCTTTGCTTTCATTGAGGATGCAGCACACTATATAGCAAAATGCTGGTATGTAACAAAGTGTCAGCATTAGTTCATTTGCTGATACCATAGAAAACATTCGATCAGCCACAGCAGCATCTTGGAAATACCTTAGGAAGAAGTCTTGCACTTCGGTTAAGGTGAAACCGGCAATAAGCACATAGCGATCGATGCATCCTACAGGAATATGGGGGATTGCTGTAGGCCTGCTTGTGAGCATGACAGAGGCATTGGGTAATAGCTCACCCTGCAACAAACTCCCCAAAATCTCTTTCACCTCTGCATCCTCTTCTGGCTCTGTCACAAATACATCAGTGTCGCAGCTTCTGTAGTGTCGAAACTCATCAAAACCATCGAGGATAATCAGAAGTTTGTCATCATTGGTAAAGATGTGATCTAGTTCTTTAGAAAGGTGCTTATTCTTACGAAGGACTAACTCTCTGAAGTTTGTGGGTTTGTTTATCAGATTTAAATCTCTAAAGCTCATGTGAATGACAAAGTCAAATGTGAGGTGTTCCTTGTTTCCCCCAAAATCAAAGAGCATTTTTTGCACCAGGACTGTTTTGCCAATTCCTGCCACCCCCGTCACCAGCACTTTTTTAACTGGACGTTTTCCATTTGGTTTCGAAAACAGTTCAGCTGGTGCAATTTTTCTTTGCAGCCCTGATTTATGCTGAAGAGACAATCTCTTTAGTCCAAAGGCAAGAACCTCGTGTCTCTTAAACTCTAAGGCCTGGTGTCCGTCTTCTAACAGGAGGTTGACATAATGTTCAGAAAGGAGGATTTTCTCTCCATGCCTACTGTTGTAGAAAAGCATGCTCTCACTCCTGCGCCTCAGGACATCTTTGTGCTTTTGTTGCAACTTGTTGTACTCTGCAAAGAAAACAGACATATATTGTAAACCGGTTGACCTCCCTCCTAGCAAATGTTGCAGAAAATGCAAATGTAAAACCAGCTGTCTCAAAGTTGTATGTCATACGCTTTAGAAATTATGCTAAAAAATATATAATTTCATTAGTACTCCATTAATTTTGCAAGACAATAAAACTAGTGATGCAAGGAATCACCTTGTATTTTGGATGGAGGTGACTAAGATAAGCTGAAAAGAAAATTTGTATTGCTAGAAAGCAATGGTCAGACAATGCCATGGTTGTTAATCTATGTACTTAAGTGAGTTGGGCTTTATCAAGAAAAAAAAAGGGAAAAAGGATACCATATCAGCTCTCAAATCAACGTATATATGTATATGTATATATATATATACATATACATATATATATATATATATAAACATATATATATATATACACACATATATATATATATATATATATATATACATATATATATATATACACACACATACATATATATATATATATATATATATATATATATATATATATATATATATATATATACACACATATATATATATATATATATATATATATATATATATATATATATATATATATATATACATATATATACACATATACATATATATATATATATATACACATATACATACATATATATATATATATTTATGTATTTACTGTATGTATTTACTGTATATATTTACAGTCATATTCAATATATTGGAATGTCAGAACAGATGTAGCTTTCACATTTTTACGAAACTAAATATGCTTCTCATCAAGTTCACATTTGCATAATAAACTTTTTCAAAATGTAAGTTCTTCTTCTTAAGTGTCCTGTTTTAATATCTGCAGAGATGGGAAGTAACAAAGTACAAATACTTCGTTACTGTACTCAAGTAGATTTTTCTGATATTTTTACTTTACTTTACTACTTATTTTTATGGCGACTTTTTACTTCTACTCCTTACATTTTTACACAAATATCTGTACTTTCTACTCCTTACATTTTAAAAAATTGGCTCGTTACTTTAGTTTTGAATCATTTCAATGGAGTTACCATTATTATTTTTCACGTTATCAATACCAAATTCAATCTAATTGAATGGGAATCTACGTTGCATTTGACGCACCACTACAAGATGAGTCGACAGATTCGGCGGTATTCATTGGCGGCAAATCATTGCAGCTTGGTGGCGGTGGCGTTAGCATAGTAGCATGGACGACGAGATGATTGAAAATGAACACAACGGAGATCTAGTCCTATTGGCAGACATCCATTTAAAATGTAGGCAACGGCATGAAAAAAGTGGTTTCTACTTTTACTTTTATACTTTAAGTAAATTTACAAGCCTGTACTTTGTTACTTTTACTTGAGTAAAGAAGTTTAATCAGTACTTCCACTTTTACCAGAGTATTTTTTAACACAAGTATCTGTACTTTTACTCAAGTACGGAAAGTGAGTACTTTTGCCATCTCTGAATATCTGTAAGTGAAAATCATCTTAACTGACAGAATCAAGGATATAAAAATATTAGTTTGTATGAATTACCTATAGAATGTGTTTCATTTAGTCAACTAAGTAAGCCCACTGAATAATGAGTTCTTCTTAATATTCTAGTTTATGCCATATGACTGAATGTGGCTACTATACTTTGTAAAGATTAAATCTTTCCTTTGGAAAAAAAAAAAAAAAAGGGAAAGCTGTTTATGTAAGAATAAATCTAAAGATTTTTTTACAGTAAAATTTGAACGTTTTAGGAGAAAGAAGAGAAGAATTGATGAGAAAAAATTTTGAGTAATTAAAGGGAAACAGTATTTATAACAAAAAGCAGCCTTCTGGAGCTGCAAACATAAGCGTATACATGGTATTTATGGAGAATTACACATTGAGGTGTTTAAAGAGATCTGGTTGACCCAGACTTGCACTGATTTGAACCATGAAGGCTATAAGTCTATAACAATAGTCGATCTATAGTCAATGCAATCAGCTGCTTTTCCTTTGATAGAAAACTTTGAATCAATTTGACTGTATAATCTGGTTGAATTGTAAAGTGCCTTGAGATGACATGTGTTGTTGGCGCTATATAAATAAACTGAATTGAATATCAGTCAAACAAATAAATATTCAACATTAGGGATGCACGATATTGGGATTTTGGCCGATATCCGATATGCCGATATTTTTAAAACTCATGTAGCCGATAACCGATATCGATACTGATGTTAAAGCTGGACAAAAATAAGTAGTCATTGAAAATAGCAGTTTTGTTATCCATTTCTGACACTTTGAAAAATAATATACTCAAATATATTTTCATATGCTGATATCAAATTGATCTTTAAAAACGCGGTATCGATCTATTTTACTTTCAAAATCTCATGAAATTTCATCATTCTGTTACAAACTCTCGTGATATTTTGCAAATTCTTGTGAGATTTTGTTAGTAAAATAGATCGATACCGCGTCAATATGTATCAACATATTAAAATATGGCAAAATTTCGTGAATTTTCGGGGGATTTCATAGCATAACGATGACATATAGCAATATTTCATTAGTAAAAGAGATTGATATGGTGTTTTTAAATGGCAATATATCAGCATATGAAGATATTGTGATATTTTAATGTATCAATATTTTTCCCTCGTCTTTAGAAGTTTTTAAGTCTGTAAAAAATAAGTTTTTGAGGAAGAAGAAGTAGTACTATTATTTTTTTTTTTTAGACTTTAGAAACTCAGAAGCTGATCAGATATCGGGTTAAATATCGGTGTGGTGGCCGATGTCCGATATTTAGTTTTAAGGCCGATACAGGCCGATACCGATAGGGGGCCGATTATATCCTGCATCCCTATTCAATATTATGATAAAATCTGTAAGATGCCTTTTCTGAAATGAAAATCAGCGTGGCTTTCTTTCAGAGAAAACAAAAGTGAAGGCTGAAAGAACCACATATCATTGGCACACTAACAGCCTCAGTGTATGAATCTCAATAATTTAACAACAAAACCGGCTTAAATCAGCAGCTGAAAAAGCTACAACACCTTTCCAGAAGTCTCTATCAATTCCGTTGGCTCACACTAGAGAAATGATTCAATCCATAGAACCATCTGAACCTATTTTTCAAGCTGTTAAAATAAAGGTTTTGAATAAATTTACGAACCTGCGTATGAAGAATGAGCTGCGTCCTGGGATAGCTGCTGATGACTTCTAACAGAGAAGAAAAGGTTTGCTGCTTCCTCTCCTTTACACTCTAGGATATCCAACACCTTCCGAACTCTGGCCCTAGGCCCTGGCTGACACAGTACTTCCTCGCGGTCATCCCGAGTGAATACTCTCTGACAGACCAGAGCTTCCAACAGGGAATCAATCTGTCCTTCCAGTTCATCCACCAGGGACATGCGCTGGACTCTCACTGCTGTCAAAGAAGATTGAGAAACATCTTTTTCCACCATAGCTAATGTGAAAATAAACCCCAGGAAAACGCAGCTTAAATCATTTGATCATCTCAATTTGTGTTGCAGCTGGTGTGTGATATTTCCTCTCTTCTGGTATCTTTTGGAGTAGAGAAACAGATGGTTGGATATTTTTGAGCAGCAGAAAGAGGAGGAGGTACTCATGCTTCTGTTAAAATCACCAGGAACATAATGACGACAAGGTGACGTAAGACAAGTTTGTCCAGTTTGTGGTTCTTGTGATGTTGTTCTGCTTCTTATTTAAAAAAGGGCTCCACATTAAGCTTGGAACAAAATGCTGGTTGGAAATTCCCTTTAACTCAATCGTGCACACTGTTAGAGGTAGAAAAAAAACACACCAGAAAATCTAAAAGGAAGCTTCTTCTTTTTATTTTGCATCAAAAATGTAAGTTACACATTAGAGCCACCAGCAGAGGCTTCCCTCTGCTTGCACATGAATACAATCAATGGGAGCGAATCAAAGCCAAAAACACCAAACTAGAAAAAAAACTGATAGGGAGAGAAATAAATAACAAAAATTAAAGAAATATATATATATATATATATATATATATATATATATATATATATATATATATATATATATATATATATATATATATATATATATATATATATATATATATATATATATATATTTATACACAAAACTTAAGACCATGGACATTTTGTGACATTTTTCTCTTGATATATTAAAATATACACACTTCAAAGACCCAGCTGTCACTGAGCAACCGCAGATGACTACTCATTGTTAATCCACAAAAACTAAAAGTGCAAACCCTGCTTATCAAGCACTACATATATTTTGTGACTATGATTAACTATTAAACAACTACTACTAGTTCCCCTTGGCAATACCCAGCAAAAACTTCACATTGCTAACATGTAGGTATGACGTTTTCAAATATCCATGAACTGAAAGAGAAACTTGTTTAGGAGTTTTAAAGGGAAAACAAATGTCAGGTATTTTTATTAGGGATTAGACAGGGTGATCTCATCTTTACGACGTAGGGTTCCATCCTAATTAATTGATGCTCCTGTTAAACTAGTTTATAAAAAGGCATGCAATGAATTAAACGTTTATTTCATTTGCATTAAATGAAACTGTTCCTGCCATGTCTCAAAATGGTTACCTATTAACCTGAGTTTTTAAGTCATGCTGTAGATTCTCAATTGGATTTAGGTCTGGACCTTGAACCATTCTGTCATCATTGCTAACAAAAAACTGCATTGGTTTTCATATCAAGTCTAGGCTTAAGACCATATTTTTCTCTTGAACCTAACACATGATTGTGCTTTAATCAGAACTAATCCACTGTGGCCCCTGGTTGTACAGTTAGATCCACGTTATTGCTGGGACATAAAGCTTGGACTTAAAACATTTGTATCTCTGGTAATTGACTGAATTACCAGTTACTTTATATTCAGACCAATCATTTTGACAATTCTCTGGTTAATAATATTAGTATATTTTTGGCAGTAATTATTTGTTTTTCATTTTGTTTTTCGTAGGTATTTAATGACTTAATAGGACAAACATACATTTGCCTTACTTGAATGGCGAGACTTCCTACCATTTCCATTTTCAATCATGCCTAATAAAATAATGCCTCCGTTTTGTGCCATTTTTTAACTCAGGGACACAGATAATTTATTTCTTTAAAAAAGTGCCAGAAGAAATTAATAATAAAGAGGAAATTAAAGCAAAACAAAAATCGAGAATATTTCTTTAATAGGAATTGTTGATACTACCATTTACCATATAGGGAACTTTGTTAAAAACTATTTCTTGAGATTTTTTTTCTCCCAACTGAATAAAAACACCCAAATTAAATGGCTCAAATTTTCTTTCAGTTAAACTTCCCAGTTCAGAATAGGATGCTGGATTAAAAGAATTTTCCATGGTACCCAATATAAATGGGGGCACTGGAAATTCTGTTTACAAGAGCAATGTGTTAGTGGTTTAAACGGACACATGACAATTTTTCATGAAATATTTACAAATTAATTCATAAACAATGATATTTTAGGAAAGAAATAAAGAGAAGAACTCAGCAAACCATGTTTTAAACAAGGACTTTGATAAGTTATTAGTGCAAAATATGTTTGTGTTTTTTCAAACGTTGCTTGTGTCAGTCACATACATATCCTTAGTGCAAACTTCCCCAGGGGATCTCTTTGCATCATTTCATTTCTATTTTACTTGTTTTGTGGTGAAAACACCTGCAATCCTGCAAACAGATGGTAACCAAACAAAAAATAGAAAGGACTATAATTAATTTACAGGAAGGCTAAAACCATTAGCTTCTGTGCCTTATTGTTAAAAGCCACATTTTCCTTTCAGCTTTCTCCCAATGAGTTAAAAAGTCTATAAACCCCATAAATAGGAACACAAACAGAATTATTCCACCTGTTTTCACAAGTTCATGTGTTTACTGTTGATTATTGGCAATAAAAAAAATACCAGAACCGTTAACTATAGACATCTTTAGAAAGAAAAGTGTTGTTTCTTGCTATGAAATCAGGCGCATATCCGTTGTATGTCTTTGGTGCAGTTAAAAGAGGCTCTAAAATGTTAATTTACGTGGCGGGTGGGTCATTAGTCAGTGCATTACAATAGTCTGAGTTCCCCTTTCAGAGACAATGCTCTCATCTCCTGTTTGCATTATTCACAGTGGTATGGTAACTCATCTCAGGTTTGCACAACTTGGAAAAAAAATCTTATTTATAAAGGCACAAAAAAGGAAGAATTGAAACTGAAGCCATCAATACAGGCCTCCTCTCTTTCATAAGATCACTTTCAAACACATGACATCCTCAAAGAGGGATGATCATACCCACTGTGGGCATGAGGGAAAAATATCCTCCCTCTACTTTGGTGCTTTCATCTGACACAGACCATAGAAAAGACAGTTGTTGGTGTCCGGTTCCTGCTGAAAACATCCTACGACCCGTCCAAGCTTTTCATGCGACTTGTCCAACACTCCACGTTCCTCAGGTTTTCATGCAGGAGTGGCAGCAGCGGCTCTTGAACTGGGGCATTGGGCAGAGCTCCAGCTGACGGACCAACTCGCAGTACCTCGTGCTGTCACGGCACGCCTCTGCTGGAAAATACAGCATGATACAAGCACAATTCATCGTTATTCAATTCATAAAGATAGAGCAGAGAACTGACTTGATTAGGTGCACATTTAGAATAGCTTGTTTGGATAGCTTTCTTCACGATAAATGAATAAAATCATTATTTATACACTACATTTCATGTTTACACAGATTATATTTGTGCAATATCAAAATTGTTTCATGATCTGAAAGGTTTAAGCATGACAATAAGGAAAATATATAAAATCATTAAGGAATACAAAATACTTCTTTATTTATACTTTTGTTCTAATTCCAGTACTGATAAAACAGGAGCCATTCCATAAGCATGTTATTAGCCTGTATTATCCATTTCAAGAGCAGATTTTCAGGGTTTGTTCTTGAGGAGAACCTGAGCACAAACATAAGACAGGCTAAATCACAATAAGAGTGATTTATTTAAGGAACAAAGAAATTGCAAAACAACAACAGAAAAAAATGGAGCGGCAGCAATAAGTAGAGCATAAGACAGTGAAGTTTAATGTGCATAACAGCTGTCTGGGAAATGGTATTATGTGGAGCTGAGAAACGGTTACTAGTGTCACATATAGAAAAAAAAAAAAAAAAAAGAGTGGTAACAAGGGAACTAAGAAAAAAACATGTACTGTATGAGAAATAACTAAACTCAAAAGACCTTTGTATTCATGTGCATTTGAAATCATTATCCAGGAGGAACTGGGTTCAAGTTCCCATCATTTGGCCCAGACTGTCTTCCTCATTTTACTTGGAGTACAAGGGATGTTCAGAATGTCCTAGAAACTGCAAACTGTTATGAATTGGAAAGTAGAAGACCAGGGTCCCAATACAGAACAAATAAAGTGTTAACATGTACCTACAGAAAACCAAACCAAAAAGAAGCATAAGCACCAAATAGACACATTCTAGTTTGAATGCATATTCCTAGGGCTGTACAGTGGAGCAGTGGTTCCGGGTTCAATTCGTGACCCGTTATCTTTCTGCATGGAGTTTGCTGGATGTTCCCCCTGTGAATGCGAGGGTTCTCTCTGGGTACTCCAGCTTCCTCCCACAGTCTAAAACCATGACTTTTAGGTTAATTCACTTCTCCTTAGAGAATCTACATGGGTTGCCATATGTGGTCCCTATATGAATGTTGTCCCATCAGAAAATACAAAGAAGAAGGTATTTCTATTACCTATTTCTATTATATAGGCTATATGTTCTATTTATAAGGGCAGTAGTATGCCTAAGACATATGTCACCAGTGTAATGTCTGCAAAGTTGATGAAATAACTTCTACTTAAATCAATTTAGCAACTAAAAAGCTAAAAGTTGGACACAGTTTGATCTTCCAACAGGAAGAAGATGCCTTTGAAATGGATGAAAGAGGCCAACTTTGCACATCTGGAAAGTGCCTTTAAGTGTTCTGATACCCAAAAAGTTGACAATGGTTTAAAAATTGGTTGATACCAGAAAACCAACCGATTTAAGTCGATGCTAACAAAGACTAATAAATAATGACAAAAACATAACATCTAACTGAGTTATTTTTTTTTATTAATTTAATTCATATGGTAATTACAAACTCCCAAAAATGATGGTTCTAAGATCCTGTCAGAGGTTTATGTACCGGTAAACCTCTGACAGGAACTATAAATGCCAAAATATAAAAATTCAAAACCTACAAAGGTTTTAGTAGTTCCACGGATATCGATTCAGAGATATTGAGTCAGATAAGACTTCCCTTAAAATGACCAAAACAAAAAGTTGAAAAACACTCTCTTTCTTCACCATCAGAATGATGCTTTTCAAGAATTGTTTTGATATAAAATCCACTGAAATAGCTTTATAATGGAATGGCATCTATAGGCATGTAAATTATTCAAATTGAAAAGAGAATCAGATCAAATAACAAATGACTTTTGTTCGGAATTATAATAATCTTTAAGAAAATTACTTGTTAACACTTAAATTACAAAGTTTCTTCCACTTAAAAGACATGTATGCTTCTACATTAAAATCTAGGTAATTTATCCTCATACTATTAAAGGTCTGTTTGTTTTATTTAATCTCTATTAAATGTCAGAATAGTTAATGCAGCAAATACTGTAGAGCCAGGACTGGGTTTGATAAATGGATTAAGTGATATATGGAACAAACTTTCTGTAACCGGGCAGAGCAGAAGCCACAGTACACCTAGATTAGCACAACCTATCACTAATATGCAATAATTTGTTTTACTGATATCATATGAGTAAATGGACAGCACTTGTAGGAGTATACCCAAAATACAAAAGTCTAATGGGTTCATGATTCAAAGATATTTGATCTATCTTTGAATGCATTGTATGGTAAGAGCCTCAGCCCTCATTCCTGTATCCCTTTATCGGCTTGGTTTAGAAAGAAAAGATAAAGTTTGGTTCAGTCTGAATGATTATTGTTGTTCCTGTGGTTTGCTTCTGGGGTAAAGAGGTGGGATGGGGCCAATGTAAGTGTGTCTTTAAATAATACTTTATTAGTTGAATGATGATCAGATAAAGGACTCATTTCAGATGTATTGGACAACATTACCTGCTCTTGAAGGAGCTAAATTGGGGTTTAGAATTTTGTAGGAAGGAAAGGTGTCCTGATGGCGAAAGGTGAAGGTGATGGTGCCCTGCGTGAAACTGCAAAGGATATGGGTTGTGTACATTACATCAGTGATTCCTAACCGGGGCTATGCGTACCATGAGTGCATTGCAAGGGGTATATGAAAATGTTTTATTTCTTAGGTAGTAAAATAAAATAGGGCTCTGATGTGTTTTGCTCTGTGAGGAACCAATTGAAAAATGAAACAAGATTTTTTCAAACAAAAAGTAAGTTTTTCTTTGAGTTCACCTTCAGCTGTGACACATATAAAAACCAAGAAGAGGAACAGACTGGATGTAGAGAACAGTCTGGGATCAGCTGTTTTTCACACTGAGCTATCGGAGCTCATCAAAGCACCTCGGTTATTTTGATGAAAATAAAGTAAAACTAATTTGTCAGTCTGATTATATTTTTTGCTCTGGATTTTTCCCCCAAATTATGAAGCTTAAATGTGATTATAAGGGAGTTACAGCCTGATCCCAGACTGTTCTTTATTTTCTGTCTCTTCCTCTGCTTGGTTTGGATGTGTGTCAAAGGTAGAGGTGAATTCATAATAAAATAATAATAAAAACTTACCTTTTGGTTGATAAAAGCTTGTTTAATTTTTCAGTTGGGTCCTCAGTAAGCAAAACAGATATTTTATTTTACTACCTAATAAATCAGTCATGTTAGTCATGTCAGGGGTTAGCCTGGTTACATGACGGAGTCCTGGCCTGAAAAAAATCTTATATGAATTATATGCTTAAAAAAAAGATGTAAAATACTTTTTTTTTTTTTATCAGTTATTTTACGTTCTACTTTTGGACAATCATCAACACTTTTGACGGAGAGGGGTACTCATTGTAAGACAAAATTTACTAAGGGGAGCACAAGTCAAAACAGGTTGGGAAACACTGCACTTCATCACTGAAAGTGCTGAGAGCGATCAGATGCATCAATGCTTTGTGACAGTTTTACATCCCTCACTGCTATTCATTAAGGCATATTTACATTTGACCATGCCCACATTTGTTGGATATTGGCTTATTATTAAGCCATTATCCAATATTAATTACATCTAAACTGAAAAAAATATCAGTTTAGATAGTTATACTAAAATGAATATACTTTCATAAATGACATAAATTAAATACAGTAGTAGCCTAAAGTTAAGAATCTCACCTCTGCCACAAGATGGCATATTGCAGCGCTGCCAGCCAGAGGGCCGAGGGGTCCACATGCAGTGGTGTGCTCGTGTTGCCCTGCCCGTTCCACGATGTCTGCAGGTCACCTGACGCGACTGGAAACCGTGTCGGCCGCAGGTTGCTGTGCACTGCTTCCATGGCCCAACATGCCAATAAAGGGAGCAGGCATCTGTGGAGCAATTCTGAACAGAGCTGGGCCTACAGCAAGAGATAGGACAAAAAAATATATTTGTCTGATCACAGTTATATGTTTAATTGTTAATTTACATTAATTACATATCTTTAAACAATGTTGGCTTTTAATTAATATTCTGTTTACCTCCTGAGACCATGGCACATTCTGTAGGAAACTTTGGTACCATTTGTGTCTTTGCACTGAATGTGCCGATGCTGCTTTGCCAAACTGGGACCCACACACCGGCCACGACACTAAAGCGTTCAAAATTGAAAGTTTGACCAGTTTCTCGCCAAATAATGAAACAAAAACAAAAAAGTTGGGATATATAAGAACACTCACCAGCCCCCAAAAGCCCGTGACCCATCTGGCACAGGGCAAAATCTTGCATAACCTGGTAGTAGATGGTTTCTTTCCTTTCCCAAGGCAGTGCCTGCTTTGTACCTCCCTTAAATCGCCTTCGTGACCCATCATGCAGCGAACAGTTCTAGACTGGGATCCCCCTCCACAAGAGGCTGAGCATGGTAACCATGCATCCGCTTGCCATCTAACCCAGCTGGGAAGGACAATTTAGGACAAGTAAGGTGAACAGAACTGGTTTGGAATGAATAAAACTGAACTGCACTGAAATAAACCACATTGAAATAAACTAAACTGATTAGAAATTAGGTAAAATCCTTTAAATACAAGTGAATAGGTTCAATTAGATTTTATATAGGTTTATCGGAATTGTAAAGAAATGTATTAAGGTAAAGTGGATTAAATTGGATTGAACTGGAATGGAATATCCTGAGCCAATTTGAAACTACCTAATTTAGTATGGACTAAACTGATGTTATTGTACATGAACTGTTTTAAATATAGTGAAAGAAATCTAACAAAATTCTTTGTATTGTGTGAAGTTGTTTTAACCCAAACTTAACAGATTTCCTCAAAGAACATATGTGTGATATCATCGCTTCATCTTAAAATATTAAACTGAAGTAACTGCTATTAAGCCAAATTTATTTACATTCTCCAAAGACTACTAAACTTAATTGGGGACTTAAACTGACACCAACTCCAAAAACATGCAGTAACCTTCACAGACCTGAAGGGGCAGGATTGTCCTCTGCAAAGCTCAGCTGACTGGCTGCTGTTTGTCTTTTCAACACAAGCTTGGTCAGTGCTTCTACCATGGAAGCAGCTTCCTCCATTACTACCTGGATGAACAGTTAAAATAGATTAAGATTGAGTTCAGGGAACATTTTGTTTGAGTCTCAGGTTTGCTACTTTTTTTAATTGGAAGTGATCAAACTTTAAATTGTCTTCATACAAATTTTGCTTTTCAAGTGTGAAATGGGATTTTCCAAGAGCTTAAAACAAAATTCTCCTAGCATCCACTTTTCTTTTTCCCTACCCTTGTCCTTTTTTTTTTTAAAGCTCCTTAACACCCTATTACACTGTCTTTAATAGAATTTGAAGTAAATATAAGGAAAATAAGGTTGGGCCATTTTTAAGCACTTTTAAACCTCTTTATCCCTTCCATTTAGATTAGCTGGATGGGATATGTTGAGATGATCTTCTTTGATACATTGCCTGGAATCTGTAATTGCTGCCGCATGGGGAGGAAGAGTGCGGCGGAGGCAGGAAATCCTCAGTGGTAGAGCTTTGATGAGGATTCAGTAATTTTCTGACTGATCTCACTTTTCAAAAGACAAAGGGCTGTGCAGTTCAGAGGCGACCCAAATTCTGACGTGAAACCGGACATTCCCCATCACTGACTCAGCCAGATGTTAAGTGAAAGCTCAGGGATCGTGCGCGTCTGTGGTCGCTCTTGTGTCTGAGGCTCTCTCAGCTGGAAGAACACTTTCCCAGAACCTTTATGCCTGAACCACAAAAGAACAACAAGCATAACTATAAACTGGACTACATTAAACTAGATGAGGACAAACCTGACCTGACATTAAGCCAATACTGACCCTTATTTTTTGCTTTCTTGGATTCCAAAACTGTTTAAAGCAAGGTTAGAATGATTGCTTTTGATACTGTACCAGCACAAGGGTTTGATTGTGTTGGGAAGGGACCTTTCGGAGATCGTACTAGACAGAATTTAAGTGAAAAAGCAGCTGAAGTCTAAAGGAAATTTATCAGATATCTTCAGACAGGTTTCCTGTGTATTTCTAAAATTAGGACTCCACACATTTCCAGACTGATTACCTAATGTTATGGTCAGTTTCAAATCAACCTATAATGTTCAAATAAAATGTTTGCTGTAAAAGTAGAAGAGATCGGGCAAAAATTAAGAATCTGCAAAAGCAACAACAATGAATCACATACGGTCTTAAGGATAGACTGACATAATTTTCATAAAAAATACCATTCTAACCAATGTAATTCAACTGACCTGTCGCTATCTTATTAACATGTTATTTTCAAAAGAGATGAGTAATTCATTTAACCAGGTTATAAAATTATAAAAGAGAGAAACCTTTCATCAGACAGTTCAGGCCAGAACAGAAAGAAATGAAAGAATGAAAAGGGATGGATAGATGGATGGATGGCCGACTGGACGGACGGATGGATGGATGGACAGATGGTTTTGTCCAAAAAATTATTGAATCTTAAAGGAATAGTACACCCAAAACATGATTAGCCTTCATTTTCTACTCACCCCCATGCTGAACAACACTCTGGAGTACTTTTTTAATATCTCAAATGCATCTGGAGATCTGGGAGGCTTCTTTCTGTCTGCTGACATTCAAATAATGGAGGTCTATGGTGACAGAGACAGAAAGGTCCATAAAAGTCCACAAAAAACGTTTCAATATTCCTCCATACTGCTCGTCCAATGTATTCCAAGTGTCCTGAGTGGGTAGCATCCAGAATTTACTCGAAACAAAGTCATTTAGAATGTTTTTAGAGCATAAACAGTAGTGTATAGGATTTCCTGAAAGCGCGCACACACGCGCTCACGACGCTACGGAAGCCGGCAGACCAAACCAGCGCATTCAGCTCGGCAAAAAACTCATGCTCTTCCTCAACACTGAAGTCCTCAGATATTTTTCTTTCATTGTTTCTTTCTTTGCACAGGTAAACAGCACATTTCTTCTTCTACGCTTGCATTATTGGAAGAGCAGACGCTGAATGCGCACTTTCATCTGGTTTGATCTGCCGGCTTCCGTAGCGTCGTGAGCGCGCGTGTGCGCGCTTTCAGGAAATCCTATACACTACTGTTTATGCTCTAAAAACATTCTAAATGACTTCGTTTCGAGTAAATTCTGGATGCTACCCACTCAGGACACTTGGAATACATTGGACGAGCAGTATGGAGGAATATTGACACGTTTTTTGTGGACTTTTATGGACCTTTCTGTCTCGGTCACCATAGACCTCCATTATTTGAATGTCAGCAGACAGCAAGAAGCCTCCCAGATCTCCAGATGCATTTGAGATATCAAAAAAGTACTCCAGAGTGTTGTTCAGCATGGGGGTGAGTAGAAAATGAAGGCTAATCATGTTTTGGGTGTACTATTCCTTTAAGTGGCACATAAATAAAGGCTAAAATAGTCTTTCTGTACAATATCAACATTAAAGCAGTGAATATATTTTTGTAAACTGATATTTCTCATGCCTAGCAGCAACAATGAGTATACAACATTTATAAATACCAATCTTTCGTCCTACATTCTGTGATTAGAATCTCAGGGAAATATTTTTTGTTAGATGAATGTGTTGTGCATTAAATAATATAAAAAAACAGAATAAGGACTTTACTTGTAATCCGCAGCCATGATGACAGAGATGTACTTCGCTGACGATTTTTAAACGTACACGTGTACAGACCTTCGTCTTCTTTACCTGGAGACTGGATTCTCAGTGAACCAGAAGCTAAAACGTTAACTCTGAAAAGAAAAAAGATAAAATACCTGCTGTTAGATGTGCAACTTGCTTAAAATAAACCCTAAGTGTAGGATTGTTTATACGGTACCTTCCATCAAGGTGCAAAGGATTTCCATTTTTCGTCCACATAAGAGAAGTTCGAGGATCTCTGATATTTTGACACCTTAGTTCCAGAGAACTAACTGGTTTCTGCAGGAAAACTGGTGCCCCAACATTAACAATAACTTCAGAGAGATATGCTTCAGTGCCATTTTTAGGAGCTGGACTCCAAGCCCTTGAAGTGTGGATCTTGAGGTTTGGCTTTTGAAGGACCGGTTCATTTGTAAAAGATTCTGTGCCATCTGGTGTGTCAATAGTAGAGTCATTAGAGCTTCCTTGTGCCATAGCAAGTTCGAGGAGGAACTGCATGAGGAAATGTTCCCCTTGGTGTCCTCTAAAGCCTTCAGAGAGATTCTGCATGATCTCATCTAGCTTGGTGCTATCAGTAACAAGCACAGCTGGGACTGAAGTTTCTAATTTTGTCCTTTCACCCTCAAGAGTCAATTTGTTTTTTTCACTAGGGTAAGGTTTTTCAGTAAGGTATTTTTTATTGTGGTAATAACCTTTTACCTCAATCAAATGTTCCACCAGGTTGTCATATTTGTTCAGGGGTATGGGTAGCTCCTGAAGTGTTCCTGTGGTTGAGGTTGTATCTGGATGCCTGGTCTTTTGTTGCCCACTTTCAACCAGCCAGGACTCTGGAACAGCAAGTTTTTTCTTGTTGCCAAGGATGTGAAGGACAAAATTTTCTCGTGCAGAGCCTGCAGTGCATGTGTAGATCCCGGCGTCAGTTGGATGAACTTGATGAATCCTCAGGAACCCTTGGGATTTTATGGAATACCGAGGATGGTTTACTAGGGGTTTCCCTTCTTTCAACCACTGAATGTGACCCTTTCGAATGTTGAACGTTGGACAGTGAATGATTAATGTTGACCAAGGCATGAGATATGCATAACCACCAACAGCCAGCTGCACCCGTTTGGACTTCCTCCACTGAATGTAGACCTTCCTCTTGGCAAGTATAGTGCCATCATTCTCAGTGGAATCTGAGATGTAAAAAGCATCATCAGTAACTCTGTTGTGTCGTAGGTAAATCTTATTTCTACCCCAAGGCTGCTCTCTTATATTTACACAGTTCTTTAGATTTTTTTTCTAATACATCTTTCAAGTTGAACTTTCTTTGCAGTGCAAACAACATGAAAATAACAAAAAAAAAGAGGTGTTTCTTACCTTCACAGTGCTTCAGAAAGCATGAGCGGAATCTGATGGGATGGGCCGTCATTAAACAGTGTGTTGAGTTAATCATTTCATATAGCCCATTCTCTCTCTGCCTCCTGCAGACAGCTTGCAGAGTCTGAATGCCATGTCCACATGTTACTGAACACTAGATTAAAAAAATTAGTATGCATGTTAGAAGTAGTAGCTAAATTATTACTTCGACAAGTGAAATAGCAAATAAATAAATATATAAATAAATACTGGAGGTAAAGGATTAGCTACCTGAGACCATTCACCAGTAACCCATTGGGGTGGGCAATCATGCTTTCCACAGGGTCGCTCACTTAAAAGAGTCATGGATGGACAAAAGGTGTCAGGAAGTTCAAGGATACTGCCATCTGCCATTCTCTGCTTGCAAAACACCTTCCTTTTCTGAAATCCCCCACCACAAGTCTGGGAGCACTGGGGAGAAAGAACGTTAAGGTTCTAGTCTAGTTTTCAGATTTGCATTAGGTATCTGTGATAGCAAATACAAAACACAGTATTCTTTACCTGGCTCCAATCTTGTGTATCCCATGTAGGAGGGCAGTCAAATCTGTTACAGGCCTGGAAAAGACTTGGTTTGGGCTTCTGACACAATTCATCTTTCAAAACTGCAGAGTAGTTGCTTTCTGAAGAGGGCCGATGGATGCATGTTACAGTTCGTGTCATCAGACCAACACCACAAGTGGCAGAACATAAGCTCCATTCCCCCGTTTCCCACCTGTCAGGAGGATATCCATTAGAATAGGCCCTTAAAGGCTCATTATTGCAAACTTTTTGTAGAAAATTTAAAGTTTATGCCTTTTGGTTTTGTTTTTTTGCACTGGGAACATAATCTGGAGGCATCTTTCTCTGGCAAAAGAGCTTAATTTTAAGACTGTTTTTCATTGAAAAAATGATTTAATGGTGATAAATGAATGATAAATATTTCATACTAGAAAATATAACTTAGTTAAGGCTGTTTGAGGTGACCTAAAACTTAGATTAATTGCGTTTTAATGATAAGAACTGAACTTGGAACTAGTTCTTGTGGTGAACTGGCTAAATACTGTCTAGGGTTGACATTAAACTCTTGACCTAAAAGATTTTCAGACTGCACTTCCAGCAATAACCCCTGTTCCCACTGCAGACAAATGCGGCCCAAATCTGATCTTTTTCAGGGGTCAGATGATCAGGTCAGGCTGTTAAAAGGAAGTGGGAACGCTCTGATCTGCCTCATATCTGACTTTTTCTAGTCACACTCTCACATTCACAAGTGGTCCAATATCGGACTCATATCTCATTACTTGGAATTTCAATCACTCGGAAAGAACAAGATGCATTAAAATCTATTTTACATTACTTTTCATTGCCTTTTTCGCACCTTAGCGTCACCGAACAGGAAATGGTAGCAGTTAGAAAAAGGAATGTTTGCTCGAATAGTACTTCATAATAGAGACAGCAAGAGATTAGAGCTCATAAATAGAGACTTTATTCAGACCTAATTGAAAGGGTCATATGGATGAGGGACATAGTCTGTATTATTAAATTTCCTATAAACATCCTTTAAAATGCTTTTGTGCTGTGTGTGATGACACTAATGTTTTTATGCGCATGCAGGTTAGTTCGGACCACAAAAAGTTTGAAACGAAGTCAGATAGAGGCCACATTCTGATTTGTGCCTATTTGTAGGTTTAAATAAAAACTATTAATGCTACTAAAGCACTGACCTTAAATCACACCTTTATTGCATTTGTGAACGATCATTCTCTACTGCCCTGTAAAGTAACACTGAGGACTTTATGTGATAAAACATTTTAGGTGAGTGTAAAACCTGAACTTTTTTTTAAACTGTAAGAGAATCTTTTAAATAAAGGTATAGTTTAAAAACAAATAAAACATATATTATTCTATAGACTTCATATATATTCGCCTAAACCTTTTATTTTGAAAATCCCACAAAAATCATATCTATACCTTTAAAGCCAGTAGACAACAATAATGGAGTGCTTTGGACTTTATTTCACCAAGTTTAGATCAGCATTTAAAATTCTTCGCATTTTCAATTCTGAGCTTAGTAATGTAATACATAGCTGGAATTAAAATGGTTTATGATATTTTATTATGGAGGAGAAAAGAGGCTATTTCGTAGTTATTTCTGGCTTAGGGGCCACCTTTGATTGAGTCCTGCTTGCAAACCGCAGCAATTGGAGAAGTTAAACCCAGAGTAAAACATTCAACACTGAAACCTTTGTTTAGTTATTACATTACTGAAATGTATTGTTGCTGTCTGTGGGAAAGTAAACTTAATGTATTTATTTTTTACCTTAAGAAAGTTTTTACAATCTTACCAATATGCAGATCAATAAAAAAGTATGAAATATTAGTTAAGCATAGCAAAATGCTTAGAATTTCTCATTGTATTAAATTATATCTAAAAAGCTATTATGCAACAAATGATATACATGGTTTACTTTCAACTTTGTATCTTTACTCCTATCTGAGAATGTAATCCAGCAACATGGTTTTAGCTCCATCCTTCACTGCAGCAACCTTAGCTTTGGTTAGACAGATTATGTAAAATTTTAAGACGCTTTGTTTATCTAGAATCCAGGATTGAAGGGGGAACGAGATTTGTACATGGACCCGTACAAACTAAATCTAATGGCTGTTTTGCCTTGGAGAGAACACTATCCAAAGAGTGTAGCTTATTATGTGAGAGTAAGAAAGCCTAAGGGAGGGAGAAAAGGGCCAAAAGAAACAGGTCCAATGCAGCATTTGTTCTGCATGAAAACAAATCTAAAAGCTTGGAAAAACATGCAAGGTCAGTCTGAAAGCCTCTGGGTTTTTGGACAAGAGTGAAAGTGGTAGAGAATTGACAATGTGCACGGTGTTAACTTGAAATATTTGGCGTTTCACAGAATCCACTTACGTCTTAGCCAAAATTTTGATATGTTAAAATACCTTTTCCTTTGCTGCTTAATAATTTAGTCAATCTAATTTTTTTGAAGAACAAATTTCGATCACATTCAAAAAATAAGTAAAATAAAAAATATGTAATTTCAAACTAGCTCAAAAAAAAAAAATAATATTGTTAAAAACTCACTTTGTTTTTCAGTTCTTCATTGTGCATGCAATACATCGGTCAACTCTTGTTTTATTTATGGAGCTAATCAAAGAGTATTTGCTTGTTCAAGCCTTTGACAGTCCCAGACCCAGTAGAAGCCTCCCCTTGATACTTTCAGCTGGATGTATTGCAGCGTAACTTAACCCGACTACAGAAAATGAACATTTACTGTAACTGCTAAAGTCTTCAAGATTTCTACATCAGCAAAATTGACAGAAATCCAGAAAGGTCTTCTGAGGACGGTTTTAATATCTTACGGGTATGTTGCTAAACCACTGATATTGGATCTTTGTGTGTCAGATTCTAACCGTGTTCCAGAGGGCTTTAACTTCCGGCCAGAAGTGATATAATCATCCATCTCTGTCAATCTCCCTTAGAATCACTTAGACCCACGTTTTTTATTGACTCATCTGACTTTCAATCAGTCTGAAACAATTAAACATTTTCCCCAAATCATTTAAGATTAACTTTTTAAAATGTTGTTGTCTTTTTTCTAATTTTAGCTTTAAATATTGGCATGTGTTTGACTTGGTAAAGCTCAAAACCACATATGATCCAACTATTGTACATTTTGGAAGAACATTCTCCTTACAAGCTTTTAATGAGCACATTTCTTTCCATATTTTGTTTTTACTAATGTATATTTTTTCTTAGTTTCAGCAAAACCTCCACTTCCCTAAAATACCCATTTTCATTTTGCTTTTTTTTGCTTTTATTATTTTAATTTAACATTCACAAGCCAGAACAAAAAACTCTTAGTGGTAGTGACCAGCATGTCTGATTCAGGGAGTTTTACTGTACCTTGGTGGGCAGGGGTGAGTGTTACACTCCAGGAGGAGTGGAGGGGGTCGCCGAGAGCTTGCACACAGGGTTTGATCTGCGGCCTCCCTGCTCTGTTTGTTCAGGCAAATAATCATTGCTTCCTGCACACCTGTACATTGACAACAAAATACAACACAAATAAAGATGAGCATATAAGCATTTTTTTTATTTCTTATCATGCCAATTAAATCTGTCTTTTGCTTGTCTTAAAATTAAATTATTTAGTGTACACTGGCATGCACCATGCTAAAACTCATTTTCTTCCTCTGTTACGCTGCCTCACTCTGATTGCACATGACCTGGTGATTTTTTTTTTCTTCTTAGCTCAGTAGAAGTTCTAGCATTTGTTAAGTTAATCTCTCTACCTTTACACCAAACTATCAACTGTCACGCAATCACAGAGTACTGACATGATATTTAAAGATGAGAAGGGAGGAGGAAAGGTATTTATTTATTATTAATGAGGTTTGTGAAGGTATAAGTTACTCACTCTTACATAATTCATGAATGTATAACATCAAACCAATTTAAAATTAGCATCATTCTTAGCCCATGTCACACTTTGACGATTTAGCCAGTGCATTCCTGACATCCCATAATCTTCTAAAACACCCCCTTATGCTGAACTTTCTATATATTTTTTCAATTTTGACTGTAAACATAGGGTATGCATAACAAGCCCAGAACTTATGTGCAACGACAGCCTAACTTATGCATAACGCACGGCAGTGTCCTGAGGGGGGCAGCAGTGAGCCTGGAGGAGCATGGCCTGCATAAAAATATTTTTTTCATTGTGGTATTAACCTGGCTGCTGTTTACCGCCCACCAAAAGTAAATAAATGAAAATAAAAAAGAAAAAGAAACATAGAGGGTATGCAGTCGCAGCAGATTCAGCATCATGTCTGCTAGGAAGTTTGTATGTCGTGGGCGTGAAAGCAAGGAGGATCCATCACACTCACATTCATGCTAAAAAGGGAGATTTTCCTCTCCACTGTCACTACAAGCATGCTTAGTGTGAGGGTTTGCATTTGAGTCAATGAGTCAATGCAATCAACTGGTTTTCCTTAGTTAGAATACTTTGAATCAATTTGACTGTATGATCTGGTTGAACTGTAAAGTGCCCTGAGATGACATGTGTTGTGATTTTGCGCTATATAGATAAACTGAATTCAGTTGATGATGGGGATGGGGATAATGCTTTTATCTAATTCAAGACCTAGCTAAAACCAAAAGGACTAATATATGCTAAACCCTGGAACTAAAAAAGGGTGATTTTTTTTTCAATTTTGACTGTATATGGAGCAGCAAGTATGTCTTAAAATAAAGTCAGACAAAATAAAATAGGGGCAAAACCTAGGGATTGTGTAGATAATCCATCAGGGGCAGAGCTAGATGGGCCATGGCCACCCTAAGCCAATCATTGGTCCCCCCCTGTGGCCTTCCCTACCAATTTTTTCTCTCAAGTAGAATATTCAAAACAATTTAAATTTATATATATTAAGAAATACTTGACAACAAAAACACTGTGGTTAATTATGCACATCAATATACCAACATTAGAGATTATTAGCACAGAATTCATGCTCTTTCAGAACTAGATTTTGTGTTAAATGCCATAAAGAGAAAATGATGTGACTCTGTAAGTCATCTAAGAGTCTTCAGTGAAATCATAGATACTGTAAATCACTATTTTAATAAAAACCTATTAAATTATCAATTTATGTAGATATAAGTACTTGTAAATATTATTTAATGCAGAACGATTTTGATAAAAGTAGGTAAGTAATGACGATGGAAAAGATGTTCACTCCAGAACTCAAACATGAAAGAATTTTATCCAATATAACTTTGATCTATACTGATGTTTAAATATATGTGTCTGTTTGTCAGCAAAGGCTGTAGGAAACTATAGTTTGTCTTTATTTAGAAATATGGACGTTGTGCTTGTTCCTGTTGGAACAGTGTAGATAGACCCAGAGGTTTTGGTGCTGATCCGCTTTTGGCCACCCCCCAGTATATATTGGTTATTGCCTGGCCACCCTTATAAAAAATTTCTGGCTACGCCTCTGTATCCTATAAATACACAATGACATGACTCAACTTTAAAAGAGTAATTTAAGATCACATTAAAAGTATTGAAACACACGTACAGGGGTCTACAATAAAGGAGGCACTTTAAATGCCACAGCGGTGTGATGGTCCACAGAAGCACAGCTCAAAGGGTGTGTTTTTGACATATGATACTAGCCTGTAATCATCCTCCAATGGGAGCTACTTGAGTTTTGGGGAGTGTGTACATGATACACTCATATCCACAAAGACACTGGCAAATGTCCTTGTGAAGAAATAAATGTGTGACAACTCTGGCAGTGCACATGAAGGAGATAAAAGTTAACCTCAGTTTGTGTTGGCAGGATGTTTAGGGAAACTGCTTTGGTCTGGGACAGCTTTTATTGCTGGTGTGAACACAGGGGTCTTATGGCCTTAAGGGTCAAATGTGGTGTTTTCTTTCTCAAAGGCAATATTGGTACAGTTTGAGTCATCTACTTCCTAATACTGTGTAATTTAAGGTTTCACTAAAATAAACTGTGCCACTATAGAGACCCTAATGGAGTTTTTACGATCTTAAGACAGTAGAAATGGGTTGGTTCACAATTTGGAGTAGGCCTAAAGCATTTAAATTATAATATCTTCCTACAATGCCTGAGCTTGAAGATGATCCTTATTGCTTTAAATATTTGCACAATAAAAAAGGCAAAACCACTGCAAAAGAAAATGCTGAAACAAGCATCTTTGCAGACGAATTTAATGAATGAATTTCTCTTTGCATATGCTGTTGGAAAGGAGGCATGAAGGCTGTGGAATAGACTTCCTTTACAGCAATCTTTAAAAAGCAGCTAAAAGCCTTCCTGTGTAAATAGACTTCCTGTTGAATGGTTTCATTTCATCTTTCTATCAGTGACTAGATAGTCATGAAATACAGATGGTTTTTTTTTTCTGTAAAAGCTGCTTAACAAACAAAGGTGACCTATTAAGATTTATCTTAATTATTCTTAAACATTCAATTTGATTCCATTACCTTGGGTAACCACTGGTTAAAGCTTTCTGACGTTTATTTTTTTATTTTCCGCTTTCTACTTCCCTATCGCTCAGAAATAACTTAAGATTCCTACCTCCTCCACAAGTTTCCGAGCACTCCGTAAACCCCTCATACTCCCAGTCAAGTTCGTCCCCCCCTCTCTGAGGCTCCCTCTCTTCTTTATTTTCATTCCCATGGCCAAGCCCCTCCGAGCAGGATTGGCTATAACAGGACTGGACCGAAGCAGGTTTTTCCCCATCACACTCATCGTCAGGCAGGTCAGCAACAGTCTGGGAGAAGGACAGCAACACCTGGCATTTGACTGTCCTGTGTTGGGTCCCAGCCCCGCACGTTTTGCTGCAGGCCTGCCAGGGACCAGGAATGAATCTGGATGAGGATAACACAAATGGGAAAAATCAAAAATATTCAGGTCATGGTGTAGGGTTCTATTACAAACACCTGAATTTTTATTCTTTTGCTATCAAAAAAAAAAGATATGCACTAATGTATATCATCAAGTACAATTATGGTTACAGAGCTTTCATTTGTTGTCACACACTAAAACATATGAGGGAGAGAAAATCCCCATATTTCAGTCCGCAACCTCCTTTAAAAGCTTTACAACTGCATCAAATGAAACAGTAAAAGAGTGAAAGTGGAACCAGACTAAAAGTTAAACCTCGCTTGATCTTTAAGTAACTGAATGTATTCAAGTGTTGGCTTGGATTACAAGCTCTCATCTGCTGAAAGATCAAACAGAAATCCTGCTTTGAACAAAACATCTATGTTTACATCTGGTGATTGGAGATATTTGTACCATTTCATTTAACCCTCAGGATAATACAGCAGCTGGGCTGCCTCCGTTTTGTAATACAGGTCTAAAATTACAGCATCATAATTTGTAATGAGAGCCACATTTGGAAGCAGTTTAATATAAAACCTGTCTTGACTGGATTTTGAAAACAGCTGATCTCAGACGTTTCTATCACTGTCAAGTATCCATTTCTTTTAGAATAAAGAAGGTCAAACATATCTTTATTAGGAGTCATGTGTTACGACACGGCCCATTTCTACAAACGTAACAGAAGCCGAAGCAATGTGATAGCCCTGTCGTGGAAATGTATCATAGTCATCAATCTTATTGAAAAGTAGGCTTTTAGGTTTAATTCTTTTTTCTTTTTCTTTTTGGAGTGATTTTTGGAGAAAAAATAGATTAGACTACACTGCAAAAAATCTTAAAATAAGTGCATTTGTTCTTAAATTGAGGAGGTAAAAGAGACATTTTGCCAATAGAACAAGACAATTTACACTATAAGAATACACAATAAGAAAACACAATTGCATTGTCTTATTTCAAGTGCATATTATCTAATTATCTTATTTTAAGAGTAAAATTACCCATTCCATTGGCAAACTATCTCATTTACCTACTCAAATTAAGGGTGAATACACTTAATTTAAGACAGTTTTACTTATTTCTAGATCGTTTCTGCTGGACAGACTTCCCCTCACCAACCAAAAACAAAGTGCTGTTTCACATGGCTGTCATTTCACCACTGTGAAGAATTACAGGCAAACAGGGCTCACCAGAGTACCTTAAATATTGTGTTCCAGTTTTCTCAGCAGCAAACATAGGTAGAGAACCCACACATGCCCTAAACTAGGAGTAGCACTAATTCAACATTTTTTTACTCAAGTAAAAGTACAAATCAAAAATTAGTCATTGAAAAAAAAATATTAAAATAAGGGTAACAAAATTACAAATGCAGAGGAATAGGATCACTTCTGAATTATTGTCTAGAAATGATGTAGACAGACAGATTGGATGTTTAAGTTCAGTATTCTTAAGATTTAGATACATAAAAAAATAACAAATAAAAGACTATAAAGTAGAACATTCATGAAGAAGAAACACTTTTCCAAATCAACATGTATAAAAGCGATTCTTACAGTTAGAACTACTGAGGGCCGCTGGAAGTACTTTTAAACAGGGGGTGCTGTGAAAAAGTCGCTGTGTTTATGTCACACATGACTATTAGCTCTAAAATCTTTTTTTGCAAACCACAAGGAAATACTTATGGAGCCTAGGTGGAAGTTTAAATGAAGAATCTCATTGCGTTCCTTCATACACCTGCGACACAGCCAATCAGCTTTAAACCACACCTCCACGTAAGCTAATCGTGGAGGTGTGCTCTTTTCAAAGCAACTCTAAAGTATATTTAATGCCAGTACCTTGAACAGGCATATCCGATTGGAGTTGCTATCTTTCCTGGCAACGGCACATATTAGAAAAACAATTAAAATCCCAGCTTTTGATTTTTTTATTTAAGTACCAAGATAGGTATTTTGTTAAGCTTTGATCTGTATTTACACTATGACGCCAGTTTGTACTTGTGTGCAGCATTCCTCCTTGTCTGACCACAAAACAAAAGCGTCACGCTGCTTTATAGGATGCCTCAATAAAGAGCTCGTAATTACAGTGAAAGTCGGCTTTTTACGAGCGTCCGGGGACTTGCTCTTGTTTGGACAAATGAAATAAATGAATCACTCACAGTTAGAGCTTGGAACTAGGACAACAAAGTCAACATGCTAACTTGGAGAAATGTTTATCTTCATGGGCGGTTAGAGTACATCTGTCAGTTCAGAAACAATCATGCATCCATTTATGGCAGGAAACAACAATTTTTTTTTTTCTGGTAATATCAACCCAGGCTTAACGTTAATCGCATCCATTAAACATTCATCTACAGGAACATTCTATAAACTGCTCGTAAAAATAATATGTTTGGCTGGATTGTGAGGAACAAATCAGTTTCAATTTTCCTGCGATAGCTTTGTCCAAAGTTGGAATTTCCTTCTTCTTCTTCCTACATCTGTAATATGGCCGAATGTGGTACATAGATATTTTTGTTGGATTGGGAAAGATGGTGCATTATGCAGAGATATTTATGAGCGTTTTGATAAAAGACATGCCTTTTATTGCAACAGAACAAAATCATATGCATTGGCATTCCTTTCTCCATTTGTTGCTCTATCCAAATCTATCAGAGTAACAAATGTTCAAACCTTTTTTCTAACATAAGTCATGGAAAGGCACTGCTCAGCATCCAAATATTGTTCACTCTCTGGGGACAGACCATCTGGAAGGCTCTAGGCTTTGCTTAGGTAATGCTGAAAGGAAGCACAAGTTCTCAATATGATGTTTATTCACCTTCACTCTCAGTTTCCCTTTTTACCCTGAATAACCTCATAAATTACATTCAAAACATACAGAAGAGACATCCAGGAGGTACTTTCAGTCCAATGGGTGAATGTTTTAACCACTGCTGAGCAGGTATCGGACGTCAGGTTGATGAAGATCATTACTGACATGAACACAACAGTGATACTGTGGTGGTTTCATGGCGGCACCCAGACCCGTCCACTTCAATTTGACCTTCAGGTTGGTCTGTTTTACTAAGCTTGAAAAAAAAAAAAACAGCTGAAACTATATTTGTCTCCATAATTGCTTTTGCTTTATTTTACCCCAGCTGACAAAATTTATGTTGTAAAAGTGTATTTTTTCTTTAAGAGAAGATCATGCTAGTTTTCAGGAACTGTGCTTAGCCGTCAAAATGGAACCAAGAAATCAAAGCATATAATCGCATCTTAAACCTTTTTAATTCCTATTTATCCAACAATCACCAGCAAATGTAGCCACAGTATAGTATTTTATCTCATTTTATGTCACAACAATAAAAAATGCCCTTCATTGTTATTTATTGTGCTTGACCAATACAAAGTATTGCATGTTTATAAGGAGAGATGAAAATGTTTTTTTTTTTTTTTTTTTTTACAAATGAAATTCCAAGAAGTTTGGTGTCTATTCGCATTTACGCACCTTTACACATATAGCCCTAAATCCAGTTTAAACAATTGCAGTCATAAATGGTAAACAGCCTGTACTTATATAGTGTTAAGTCAGGAAACTTAACCAAAACAATTTACACTACTTTCAGTCAAGGGGCGATACTGGTGTCAGATGAAGGAGTTTGCCCTGCAAACAGATGTCATGATCTTGGCACCTATGGCTTGGTCTGACTCTTTTTTTCTCTTATCTTCTTTGCTCTGCCCTGCTCTAAATGTCTCTAATCAGCTCCACTTGTTCCTGCATCTATTTAAGCCACTGGTTTCCAGCCATTGGTGCCAGATTATTGAAGCTTCTAGCAAGTCTATTCTAGCGTTCTCTGTTTGTGTTAGTTCTGCCTTATCCTGACCTATTTCTATTTCTGGACTTCCGAAATTTGGCCACCCCTCTTCTGCTCTGGTTTTGCCTGTCTTGTTTTCCAGACTACTTCCTGGATTCCGCCTGTTGTTGACCTTGTACCTGCTTGGATTGGCCCATCTGGATCATCGGTTCCTCTGCATAATCTGACTGCTGCTGGTCGCTGCATCTCTTCTCTCCTGTATCTCTGGTTCCGACTCAGTAGTCTACTGTGGAGTACCAGGAGGAGGAGTTCCTCTGGATGTCACTCCTCCTTCTGGACTCAGACTGAACTCTTTGCCAGGGTGGTGACTTTCATGCTCATTGTCGTCTCCCCTTTGAGTTCTGAAGTCACTAACCTGAGTCTCCGTTTCTGATTCCAGTGAGCCCAGTGCACCTTTCTTTTAATAACGCTTGTTTCAAAAACTGATCTGTCTGATTAAATCCTGGGTCCGAAGTTCTGAGCCGCCTGACACCAGAGGCTTCTCAGTTGAAGCTCCGATTACGGCTTTCAGTGTTTCGTCCTTTAGCAAGACACTTCACTCGCATTGCCTGCTGATGGTGGTCGGATGGACTGGTGGCGCCAGTGTATGGCAGCCTCGCTTCTTTTGTCTTATGATCCCGAGTGTGTGAGTGACTGCGTGAATGACTGAATCTAGTGTAAAGCTTTGGTGAAGTTCTCTGACTTGAAAAAGTCCTATATAAGTACAGGACATTTACCATTTACCCATTCACTCACATATTGATGATGGAATGCTACATTGTGGCAACAGTTGCAGGGCAAACTCCTTCATTCAACGCCACTGTCGCCCCAATGTCCACTGCACAGTGTTTTTTTCTGAACTGTACTAATCCAACTAATCCAATTAGTAATAGAGAGTACCACAGCACATTTTCCTGTAAAAATGCATCCTTCCATCAAACTTAACCGTCCTTTGTGACCATTTTTGTATACAAAAAAAATTGCCATAAACCGAAACAGACATTTACTGATTAATAGTTGTAGGGACAGGCCATTAAGCTGTCCTTTCCATGTCTCTTTTACTGACTTTAAAAAAATCAGGAAAAAGACAGGACAAGAAGAAGGAAGAAAAAGAGAAAAACAAAAGGAAAATTGGAAACAACAAAATAAGAAGGTAGAAAAAAACGAGGGAAGGAACAAAAGAACAAAGGAAGAAAAGTTAAATGGGAAAGAAAGAAGAATAAAGGGGGAAAATTTATATTGGCAATTGGTAATAATTAAAGTAATATTTCCCTAGAACATCTTATACAGCATCGCTCAGTCCCTTACCCTGAAAATGACAGTGACACAGCAGTAAAACCTACTGAGACATTGCTCTACACCTAAACTGAAAGACTTGACCATGAAAGCATAAATCCGAAAAGCAATCAATGGCAGCTTTGGAGCAGCAGCAGAGATAAACTGATGAAAGGACAGTTATTGAAATTGTGTATGTCATACCCTATCTATGTGTTAAAATGGACTAGTCAAAGCGCAAAATTAAAAGTAATTAAGAATTCACTAGCAAGACTTACCAACCCAAAGACTTCCCAGCCAGGCTTTAAGAGGCCGTAGCTTAAAATTTGTTACAAAAAATTGCATCAAAACATATTCACTCAGAGATTTTTTTTTAATTGAACAAAAATATATCTTACTATCTTACTTTGTTAGACCTAGACTAACTTTATTGTAATTTTGAGTGCACAGAGTGTATACAAAACAGAATTGTGTTGTGTACAGTTAACAACAGTTGTAATGATATTGCAGTTGGTGTAGATAAACATTACCAATATAAAGTGCAGCAGTGATCAGCAGTGCAGCAGAGATTTTATCGTTATCTCACTTTTATCTCCTCTGTCTTTCATCTTTTCTCTGTTTTTTTTTTCTTTCCTGTTCGACTTACATTGCAGTGTCCATATAATCTTTAAAACTCCCTGCATAATTATAATAAAGCTATTTATATGCATAAATCAAGCGGAACACTATGGCGATAGCTGTACTGCTCCCCTTGTGAAAGTAAAATCTGTTAGGCTCTTTTTGGCATCAAGAGAATTATTCTTATTGTCACATTGCCAGACAGGACACTGTAAAAATAAAAAATAAAATAAAAAAAGAAAGAAAGAAAAAAAAGGGCAGCACTGATCAGAATGTAAACAATCTAGGAGAAAAAAGAAACCAGTTTAGATAATGGTGCAAAAAGGCATTAATATGAAAACGAGTTGTGTCCTATTTAAAAGGATTATAAAATTTCAGCAACATTGGTTGTGCAAAATAATGCGAGTCCAGTTTGAAGTTTGTGTTGCCTATCATACAGTCTCACAAAAACCTATTGAAGTTGAGTAATGTGACAAAATGTGAAAAAAGGTAATCCCAAAAATATATATTTTAGAAGCTCTGTTGATATTTGTAAGTGTTTTCTTAAGCATGGTCATTACTTACGTCGGTTCCTGAGTTGCAGTTACTTTCTCCTCCTCCTCCAGCTCAATGGCCTGTTTCTGCCAGACAGGCTTTGCCTCAATCGGTAGTGTGTCTAAAGCAAATTGCAAAGATCCTTTTTAACATTGAGTGAAAACACTAAGAAAAGAATGAAAGCTGCAGAGTTTAACAAGATGTTTCTCACCTATGGATTTGTAGCAGGGAACTGTAACCAGACACTCCTCCTTGATGTGGGGTTTGGTGGTGGGGTTGCAGCCTCCAGCGTGAAGCCCTCTGTGATCGATGCATAAAACCACCCTGTAACGCAGGCCCTGACCGCAGGTCACTGTGCACTGGTGGTGACAGGTCACACGAGGCTTTTTCAGTCACACAATTTGTACATGCATGCACATGTTCCTTTAAATTTCTAGAAAAAAAAAAAACTTCTGTCTGAAACTCAGGGGAAGTGAACAGAGAATCTCATCAAATCTCTCATCAGGAACAAACTTTCGTCGATCCTTTGCCAAGATAATTATTTTAAGGGAAGAATGTGCTGCATAAACAGCATACCAGGTTTGAAAGGGGCTACATATCAGACTCATAGGGTTCAGCACGTCCATGTTTAGCTGAGGAGGCAAAATAACTGGCAATCAGGTAGTTGCACGGGAATTTAAAGGCAGTTCAAGAAATAACCCCACATAAAACCAGAAAGTGAGTGATGGAACAGAACGTTAATGTGTTAACGAAACACTTGTTCTATTCAAATATAAATATTTGCATCGGTGCTCCCAAACAGTAATGAGTGTTTCTCTTACAATCAAGATGCTGCTCATTGTTTAAACCAAACAGACAAACAAAAAAAAAAATGCTTTTTTTTAGGAATTTGCTATCGGGCATAGGATAGTAACTAGTTATTTCACAATTTCTAGTTTGTCACATCCTTCTGCTTTTTTTGTTTTAGTTTTACTAATATACTACAATATAGAAAAATGATGATGAAGATGTGTCCAAATTCTACTGGTGGTGAGAATCCAGCCTCAGTGAACAAATGTGATCAAGACTAAGAAACACAGCCAACAGCAACAGTGTTTTTACCTCCCAAGTATGAAACGATGTAAGACGCAAGAAAAGGGAAAAAAAACATCTTTAAAAAAAATTTAAAACCTAAGTTTAGATCAGACATTTCATTGAGTTTTTTGTCTTTCACTTTCTCAAAGTAAATATCTGGGATGATTTTGTTTTTTCATAAAAACAAAAGTAGTAAGAATATATTAAACAAAAGATTAGCAAGCCATGCAAAAAAAAAAAACAAAAAAAAAAACACACAAAGCAGAATTATTGCATCATGGCAAATGATGCAAAGGAGGAAACTTCAAATGCAGATTTATAATGCTCAAGATGAAAGAGAGGTACCTACAGGTGACCATTCCTGTGCCACCCAGGTTGGACAACTGAAGGTGTTGCAGGGCTGCAGGATGGCAGTCTTTGAAGAATAGAGACATTTCCACTCTTCAGTGGGCGTGATGTTACCCTGCATGTCTTCCTCCACACATGTCACTGAGCGACTCTGGAGGCCACCGCCGCAGGACGTTGAGCAGGCAGTCCAGGGGCTGCTCTCCCACCTGACAGAAAGAGACAAAGTATAGTGAGTTAATAACTAATTTTAACTAATTTTGCAGAGCTTTATGCTTACCGAGGCAGGGGGTGGTACAGGTCATATGGCATGATTTCTTTGTATCCATCACTATCACTAAAAAAAAAAAAAAAAAATGAAACTGAATAACAATGTTAAAGTTAGCTAGTTTGTCCAGTGCAGTAGAAATACAGGACCTCACCTATCCAAGCAAGGTTCCATGTTGCACTCCTGCAGCTTGGGTTTGGGCTTTACATTTTCAGGGTAATAATGGCAATACTGGTCCACAACAACGCGACTGGTTCGTAGATCATAACACTCTGCAGATGTCAACTGGTAACCTATAGGGAAGAGGTGTTCATATAAGTTCTAAACTAAGATCAATATAGCACTTAGTTGGTTTATTATTAAATAAAATAATGTTTATTTAATTGAAATGAAACTATAATGAAACTATTTTAAAGAAAATACATGTGACAGAAATGAAAAACAATTCTGGGAATATAAACAACTTTAAAAGCATTTCACTTTCTTTCAGAAATAAATAAAGCTACATTTAATTTAGGTAAATTACTTAGTAATTATAAATGAAAATAGATTAATCCCTACATAAGGAATACATACCGATATTTTACAACTTATGCTTTAAACAAAAATGTATTGCATTAACACACAAAAACCTATAATAAATAAGATAAACTTTGGCTAAATAAGAAAAATTTACTTTATAAAAATCACAAAACTGAAATATAAGCTAAGTTGCATAGTTGTTATAATTAAAATACAACTCTTTTCACTTAAGAATATTATTTTTGAATCATCTGTTTGTATCCAAATTGTCTGTGTAGTGCAATTTTTTCACATCTTTTACAAGGTTTACCTCCCCCACAGGTGACGGAGCAAGGGAAGAAATCAGTTTCTCTCCAGCGGTGGATGATGGGCTGATAATAGATGTACTGGATTACACTGTTTGCACCACCGCTGAACTGTATCTAAGGAAATTAAAGAAAACATAGCAAATCGCATTTTTATTTTCATGAAGTGCCTCTATTAATTATAAACCTTTTTTTGCTTTCAGAATGTCGACGTTAGTCACAAACATGCTCATGCTGTACGGGAACATCTGCAGATAACTCTGCATCTGGGATACTAATGAGGAAACTAAAACGGTGTTTTAACACATGCTGTCCTTTGCAGCAGAGGAAGTGGTCAGAAGATTCATTTGCATTTCATGTTGAAGTGGTTCACACTACTCCAATATCTTTAAATCTAAACATATGAAACCAGAGCTGCTTTGCACCCTGCTTAACACAGGGGGTTCAGCTGGAGTTCATAAATGAAAGCCTTATCTGGACCTACTGTGGACAGGCTCCTTAGAGGTTTTCATGGAAAACGGTCTAAGTAAAACTGCAGAGAAAATAACTGAATGGACCGAGTGTCTGAACATATTTAACACAGTAAAGTATTAGTTTGGTAAGCTATTTTGGGGAGTATGGGACACAACCTAAAATTTACTTTTAAAACCTATAAAAGCGTAACAGTATTTACCAAAACAGTGTTCAGAGTTCAGTAACAGATCTCTACCTGAACGTCTAATACAGAAGTTAGCTTCCCTTTAAGATTCATTCTTTTTTTCAGTTAACCTGATTGTTTGTGAGGCTATAGCACCATTAAAGCACCTGCATATCTGGGCATGACCTAAAGATTAATTTCTATAAAAGAATGGAGGGCAGTGTCCAAGCACACTCTAAATAAAACAGAGAGATAACCTAATATTACACTTAAGAAATCAAATATATGCGGAACAAGCTGTCTATTATCATCTGCTGTTTACTGATCATAATCAGTTATGTAAAGAGATTATATGGAGAAAAAGGATGAAAAGAAGAACAAGCAGTCTGTCTTTGTACATTTAGTGAATTACTGAAAACATAGTTTAGGACTTTCAAAGTAAGATTCTGTTGATCTGTTTTCAGTAGCACTGTATATTTTTATAGGTCAAACAAATACATTCAAATGTATTTATATAGCTGATTTAAGAACAACTCTTGATGGCTAAAGTGCTGTACACAAAAAACAATAAGAGTAATTCCAGGATAAGGATAACAGTAATAAACTCAGACAAAGAAACATAAACAGCCCAACAGATGAATCTCTCATGATGTATTTGAAGCAAGTGAGTACAAACATGTTTTAAGAAGTGATTTAAAAACACCAAGAGTTGAAGCCTGTCTAATATAAAAGGGGAACTGGTTCCAGAAGGTACGTAGAACTAGCCTGGAACTTGGGAAATCTAAGCACAGATCAGCATTGGTTTGAAGGGATCTAGAGCCAAATTAGGCTGCAAGAGTTCTGACAAATATACAGGTGCCTGGTTATTTAGGGCTTTATAGTGTAACAATAAAGCTTTAAAATTTATTTAAAACAATCAGGAAGGCAGTAAAGGGAAGCAAAATCTTTGTTCATGCATTTTGGTTTGTGTTAGAAGACAAGCTGCAGCGTTCTATACCACATATATTGGTGAGAGGCTGGCCTGGCTAAAACCAGCATACAAGGAATTACAGTAATCGATCTTAGGAGCTAATAACATTTTGAGTCATTCATTCAAAAGCGTTAAACGATAAAAATGATTTTACTTTCCAATCTTTTTTCATGTCTCAATGACATGAAGTGCGTATAAAGAGGCTCCTGCTACCCTTAGCGGAGCAGATCCCGATCTGTGCAGATTTTTTCCACATTTGTTCACGTGCCCAATGAATTGAAACATTTCCCACATTACAATTCCCCACAGAAGTTTATAAAAACAAAAACAGCCGGTGCGGCTACAAAGCAAAGCCCCAACTCATGAGTATTTGCAGAATCTATTAAATCAGAGCAGATTGAGATATGTTTATAGGCCTATACTGTACTAAAAATATGATGTGAACTACATTTAGAGAAAAGGAAAACGCAGCAATAAATGCTGTGGGATGGTTTATATGGGTACTGGGTGAGACAGTGAGACACAAAGAGGATCAATACTTGATCTGTTTTCTATCTTCCTGAACCTCGATCTTGGGTCAAGTATTCATTTTTTTAATCTTTCAATGAGTGTTTATGCACAAGTTTGCCCCACCTGCTATATTTGCTATGTGACTCCAACATTACTAATTGCTTTTACTCAATATCAGATGCTCAACAAAGTTCCTGTAATGCCTATTTAGGTAATAATCCAGCTTCCTGCAAATCGAATTAACTCAACATTCAATCCTGGTCCAAAAGTTTACAGTATTTGGTGCTGAAAATACCATTTAACATGAGTTTGTTGCTATTTTTGTCAGTGGGTACATTTATTTTATAATAATCTTACTTTGATGGTGAAGTCAGCTCCAAGAGGACCGGACATTCTGAGGATTTCTTTGTCTGAAAACTTCTGAAAATCCAAAGTGGTGTTTTCCAAGTAGTAGTGTCCAGATTGGTCCAGCATCAGTTCAGTTTTTACACCCTGTAGGGTCTTACACTCCACATCTGAAGATGAGACAAACAAGAAAACTTAAACAAACTACAGAAAGGTCAAAGCTCAAGAGAACCAATACTTTGGTTAAAACTTGAGTTTTTCTTTGCTAAAATATCTGAGCCTCATCATCATCAAATGCCCATAATTTCTCAGCGGGGCTTTATTGTTACTGTGTCACTACTCTTCAAACAGAATTAAGATGGAAATAAAAAATGTGATTAAACTGTCTAGAGGCTTAAAGGATTTCTTAGAGTTAGGACAGACCACACACAGTGCTTTAGCCAGAGCCAGTTACACACAATGAGTGCAGTCTGGTTTCAGTGTTTCAAAGCCAAGAGGAGCACCGCAGCAATGCCAGGAGGATCACAAGCAAGATCTGCAAAAAAGGCTGCCGCTGCAGTGAGCTTCTGCTCTGTTTGACCTGACATCAGCTGTTACACTAACCTCTAATGGGGTTGATTCTAATTCCAGCATGACTGTTTAAAGAAAGCACTGCATGAAAAGTGGGATTTTCGTCAATATACGGCACTGTAGATTGTCGTGGAATTTCAGGTTAGCGGCAGTTTACGGCAATTTGCAACCTTCGCCGAAAACTCCCGTAAATTGTCAGAAATTGACGTGGAATTTCTTAGGCAGTGTTCCCCCCATGCCTCCCCCCCATGGAATTCTAGGGGAGGCTTTAACATGTTAATGAACATGCTGTGAGCTGTACAAATGCAAATCAGGGTTGCAGGGGGGGTAAAACCCCCCCTGCAACCCTGGGTAAGAAAATCTCTGATACAAAGAGATCAGGTATAGCCTCTTACATTTTAGCTTGAATTGATTTATTTAATTAAAGTATAGAGACCAAAACAGATCTTTAGCTGACAGAGCAATACATTTAGAGCAGTAATTATTTTTTTTTTTTATTTGCATTTAAGATAAAAAATAAAATGTTGTCTGTCAATATGCTCAATTCACAATTACTTAAGTGGAAAAGTTTCAAGAAATGATTCTGAGATGATTCACTTTATAACATGGCGCATTATCCTGTTGGAAGTAGCCATCAGAAGATTGGTACACTGTGGTCATAAGGACATAGGTCAGCATGCTAAATTGGTTTTAAGTGGCCCAAAGTGTGGCAATAAATATCCCCCAAATAGATGGTAGAAATAGATCAGGCTCAGTATAGCCTAATTATAGACTCTTACATTTTAGCTTGAATTGATTTATTTAATTAAAGTACGCTAGATTACTGTGTATGCAAATGTTATGTAAAAAAAATACACAAAATAATTTACTTCAAAAATTAGTTTTAATCAGAATCAGTTGGCTGTAATGGTTAATTTTTTTTTTTAGATTTCCACTTTTTTTATTTTTTTTGTTATTGAATATATAAGAAAACAATAACAATCTCAAATAACAAGTCAATAACAAATATTTCAATACAAGAAGAAATATCACAACTCCTGCTTTTGAAAAATAAAATTAAATGCACAGGCTGGAACAAAGTATAAAATAAAATAAAATAAATAAAAATAAATAAAATAATAATAGTAGTTAAAGTAAATTATTCAGTGGGGACTACCAACTGAAATTCTTCAATTAACTCAAACAATTTAATTGCATTTAAATTCTGCATCTTTCTCAGACATCTTTTGAAAAGGGAAAGTTCATTTTTGAGAGCAGAGATTGAGAGGGAGCATTTTGCATAGCGACATTTATGGATATAATACTTTGTTACAATTATTAGAATATTGATTAAAAATTCCAAATTTTTTTTCTTTAATGGATAAACCGAATTGAATGTTTTGCCAGGAAATAAAATCTAAATTTATTGTTTTAGAAGACAGAAAGGTTCGAAGTTGATCCCATAAGTTTAATACTTCTTTACATTCATAAAAAAGATGTTTAGTTGTTTCCAATTGAGTTGTACAAAAGCCACAATTCTCAACATTAAACTTAAATCTCTCTCTTAAAAACTCATTTGAAGGATATATGTTATTTATTATTTTAAATTGTAATTCTTTATATTTAGGAGGAATTGGGAATTTCAAATAATTTGTCCTAATTTTGACTATCATAGATTTCTTAAAATTTTGTAAGAGAGCTGTGCTTTTTGTTCTTCCTGGGTACATATTATTTATAGAATATTGATTCAAAAACTTGTTGTTGCATTTATTATCTCTAATGTCCACCTGCTCAAATTCAATCTTATGGAGACAAACAATTGCAATTGCAAACAATTTATAGGTGCATTACCGCCACCTTCCAGAATGGAGCGACGCGAGCTCTTCTCGCGAGTCCTTCCGTATAACAATGACGTCGTATGTGATTGGAGGAGCCTGATGAGCCTTCGGCCCCATCGTCCAATCACGTGTGAGCTTTTGTGCACTACGACTTCTCGCGAGACCAGCATATTAGCAGACATGTTTGTGTTACTACACTTAGAAGAACTTAATCTCCAGTTACTGTGTTTGTATTTTGTTGTTACGTGAACAATGGCTGCACGACGTCTCGCGTTCAACTCGCCTCCAACTGCTCTTAGTCCACAACTTTCGGCCAGCCCGCAGACTGACGAGAAGAAACTGCTGATTGCTATCAGCGGACTGTCTCGTCAGCTTGCCCAACATACTGCCGACATGAATGAGCGCTGGAGAATTCGATGCACTCCAGGTTGCAGTCCATAGAGGACAAGATGGCGGCTCGGCAGTCGAGCAACTTTGCGGGATATACGAACTCGAGGAAGAGAAGACGGGTGCACAACGCCACGCTAGCGGTAAATATAAGTTCGATTACTGGTAGCTATGCTAAAAGCAGCCTAGCTTAGCTAGGCAAGCTAAAGGCAACCTAGCCTAGCTAGGTAAGCTAAAAGCAGCCTAGCCTAAAGCTTTATTAAAGTGTATTTTTTGTGATTCACAGGAATCAGTATGCCGTCTTAACAACTCGGAGACTAATTGCAGGCGCTATGAACCGGAGCAGGGGTAAGGTTTAAAGAATATGCTTTCATTCTGCGGTAAAAGGACATGGATACCGACCATAGCTGTACTTTTTTTTTTCTCACAGACTACAGTCGCCTCACAATGAGGCGGTGACCTCCTATTTGCTCGGATTTGCACGATGTTGATAAAGACGACATTGTGTGTAAGTGACTTGTTTTAATGTTTTCTCCTTCCTTGTTACTGTGACTTGCGTTTGATTTTATTTTTTTTTATTCATACCTCTCATTTGTTTTCCAGCTGCCTGTAAGACGTATTATGAGACGGTATGCAGGAGCTTCAGATACACGCTGCTAGCCAGCACGCTGCGTGCGGAGGCTGCCAGGCTATCTGCTCGGAGTCGGGACAGAAGAAAGATGGTAAGACTTTATTTGGTGACTATTTTTCAGGTGCATTGATAGATGTGTTGTGTCCGTATGCAGTGCGCTGATTCATTGTTTTTTTTTTTCAGCTGCTGAAGGCGAGGCAGAGTGTGTTGGCAGATGAGGAAGTGGAACTCTGGAAGTCCGCCGTCGTCGGCGGTGTCTCTGGATGGATTGTACGGTCGCCGCCATTTCGTAGGCCGGATCTCACTGAACTCTGTGTTAAGCTGCAGTCCCGGTTAGAAGCGATGCCGAAGTACAGGGCCACGCACAGTATGCGTCTGCACATCGGACCTGCCTCGGAGGGAATGCTGCCTGTTACCTCCAACCCCGATGAAGCAAATGGACCGTTCACGGAGTTTTAATTTTTAGATACGCATGTGTTTGGATACGCGTTGTATATAGTTGTGTGTGTTTTAATAAAGCTCTTTCTTTGCATAAACAGCTTCCTGGCAAATGTTCATTTCCTGTATAAATTCATTCATGTCCTTGATGGTAGCATAATAATTGTGTAGTAGTGTAGGATAACATAAATACACAGCATATGAATGAATAAATATATGAATGAATAAATATATGAATATATATATATATGAATGAATAAATATATATATGAATAAATATATATGTAAATATATATATATGCCAACCAATCACGAGCGACTTTACTTGTTTAAAAGGAAGCGGTTCCGTCCAATACTCAGTAAGAAAATTAAAGCCTGGCGTGGCCACGTGTGGTTTTGCTGCCAATCACGAGCGATTTCACTTGTTTGAGAATAGTGGTTTCAGCCAATACTGAGAAGGTTATTCAAGCCAGACCTGGCCAGCCGCGCGGGTTTGCTGCATTCATATGCTAATTAGGGCCATTAGTACAGCTGATCGCTCTCCACATACGTCAGAGTCCGTTTCCGACAATTTGTGGCACGACAAACGCGGACAAGCACGGGTTGCAAATTGTCGGAAACTGACGAAAATCAGGCAGATCTGCGGGAGTTTACGGGGGTTTACGGGGACGAAAATCTCACTTTTCATGCAGTGAAGGGTGGGAAGAAACTAAAAAGAAAAGCAGCAAAATTGACATAGGCATTTATAAAACTGTTAAAAAATAAAATGTAACACCAAATAGAGAGCCCAGAAAGAAAACATTAAACTTGTCAAGGCAAAAGAATGGATTATCTAGAATATCGTAGAGCAGTTTGTTGTTTCAATATTTCAAAAAGTGTATCTCCTAATATAATATACCATTATCACACAGATATATTTCAAGTAATAATTTATGTGAATTTGATTATTAAAGTTTATTAAAACTGTCTCAGAAAAGAAAAAAATAATAATTTCTACACCCAAAATGTCAACAGACTAAAAGTATTTCCTAATACTATAAAGTAGTCCACACTTGATAGGGTGTCCATTTGCATGAATTGCTGAATCCAATACATATCTGTATGTTTTGATACAGCCTCCAAATTGTTAAGAACCTCTATGAGCTTTGCATATCTAGGGTGCATTAGACTTAAAAAACATGCATCCAAACACCAGAGGAGGTCATCAGAAAGCTACAACAGTTAGGGTATAGAGGAGTCAAACAAAGTGTACTTCTGATCAAAGTGCACAACATTTTGCAGTAAAAAAATGCAACTAACATGAATGTTATAGTTAGGGTAGAACTTGTTTGGATGGAAGGGCACCCCAGACCTACCAGGACTTACACAAGTGATCCGTGCCTTTCAGGACCAGACGTATATGACGGCTCTGGTATGGAATGATAACCACCGTATCCTCAGCTTCAGTAAGAGAGACAGAAAAAGATTTTGCATTAAAAAAAATGCATAATTGCAAATTTTAACTACATTTCAAACAAATTCCAGAAACAAAATAAAGATATGGCAGCAGTGAGTTGATCTAATTCAAGTTTAAAGTGCTCTGTAAAAATACAAGCGTTTGGCTAGGTCAAGTGGTAAGTCACCATGCTGCAAACATATTTGTATCCTAGCTGACGGAATGAGCTGCCAGTGTGGGTCCTTAGGCAAGACTAACGCCTGCTTTGGGGAGTGGCGGTCTAGTCGTTAGGGCTTTACTCTTGGAATCTGAGTTCAAGCCCCACTCCCACAGACTGACACTCTGTGTCCCTGAGCAAGACCCTTCACTGCTCCTTAAGGAGATGGGTGAAATGCAGAGAGGGAATTTCATTGCTCTGTACTTGTGACAGTGTAATGACAATAAAAGCTAGGAAAAAAATAAAAAAACTGGAGAATTTGGATTGCTAAATGGTTATAAGATCAGAACATTAAAGAAGAATGATATGCTACTCACCATCCTAAATTCGCAAAAAAGAATAACTCCAGCAAGTCAGCTCTTTCCAAAGCAGTGGATGAGTTTAAGAATGGAAACTGCCCCTTAAAAGTCTCATAAATTTTGCTGCTCTAATAAAACCTCAACATCTTTCCAATATGTTGACATTGTGTTAAAATGTACAATTTTAAATAATAAAAATGTGGGTTAAATATAGTAATGGTAGAAATATTAATAGTTCCATTTTTTTCTTAAAGGTATTGCTGTTTCTCTGTCATTTTTGAGGGCTGCTGGGGGAAAAAATGTTTCCTCTATTTTTTTTCAAGTGTTTTTTTTTTTTTTTTTTTTTTTGCTGCACTTTTTAAAATTATATCTCAGCAATAAGGTTAGATTTAACAACACATTTTTAAAACATGAAAAAATAAATCTCAATCTGCAGTATGGGGGGGAGGCAATACATCCTTTCTGACTTAGTTCAAAGTTACACTAAAAATTTCATTATAAAAAGGATCAAACCGCTATGGTGAAACAAAACAGAAAATCATCATTCAATATGTGTTTAACATCTGAATCTTTGAGACATCCGTGGCTGCAGATATGCAGTAACAATAATGCAAATTGTAGCTGTACACATATCAAGCTCACGTTCATTACATGTATATGTCGTATGTTTTTTAATTTCAGTTAGAAAAAGTAAAATGCTATTATGAAATAAATGAAAAAGAGGAATATTTACTTTTCCCTGAAGCATGCTGGGATTTGTAATGACCTCGCACCAGTCTGCAGGATGAGCCGTCTCCATTACAGATGCCACAGTTGTCTTCCTTTGCTGTGCTCCCCAGTTCATGGTCACAGCCTACAATCTGCAACACAAGGAACCAGGGAAACACGTGGAAATGTTATGTTTTAAAGAGGAACTGGGGATTTGATTCCATCATGTCAGGTAATTTTAATTGGATATTTATATTCATGGCAGTCATTGCAAAAAGAAGGTTTCCATTCTTGTCAATACAGTCGTGGTGAAAACTTTGTACGGCTTCACTGCTTCTACAGCAGGGCTTGGCAACCCGCGGCTCCAGAGGTGCATGCTGCTCCCTATACCTATAACCTATACCAAAAAATGCATGAAAAATGATTTTTTGTTTGTTTGTTTTAATATGGTGTGCAGAAGGTCAAAAAACACTCATTATGTTTTCCAATGCTGTAAAATTTGTATTATAAATAGATTTAAACAATAAATGTAAACATTTCTTTCAACGAAAAGAAAAAGGGGTCTTTGCTCAGAGAGCCAGAGTGGCAGTCTGTGGGAGTGGGACTCAAACTCAAAACCTCAGGATTCCAAGCTCTATACCCTAACCACTAGGCCGCCACTCCCCCCTACTATTTATCAACAGGTGTGAGTGCATCTATAGAAGCATAAGTGTTTTAGCAGTTTGCTGACTTATATTAAAGCAATGCCAAAGAAGTAACACATAAGAGAGGAAACGGATTCCCTTCAATCAATTTGAAAAATGTTTTTGAGATTTTCCTGAGTTAAGTAAATGACATGTCATTTTTCAAAAGACTGAACAAATATGGCTTGTTTGTAAGGAAGAAATCATATTTTAACTTTAATGAAAAAAAATGGTAGCCAAACAAAAGGTTTGTAAAATTCCTTAATTTATCAATAATTAACTGATTAATCTAAAAATATATTCTTTTAGAATTTCTAAATTAACAGATGTTTAAAATTTAGAAAAAAACAACAACTTTCCTGCACATTTTTAATGAATTCTAAATGGCAAAAACAAGTAAAAATACCCGTACTAATACACTACATGTAGTTATATACGAGTGTGAGAAGAGGATTTTTAATTAATCTTAAGATTTTGTTTTGACTTATACTGTTCTTAGAGGGTTATTCTTTCAGCAAATGGCATGTTTTAGGCTCTGTGTAGCATTAGTCTCTTAGTCTTTTTGGTGATTATTCCACTGATCGATGAATAAAAAAATAAACCTGTTTCAGGACTTGTTACGTTTTTTTTTAAATGGGTAACAGATTACAATCCCTTAGCACAATCACCACATATGGGCCAACTTAAAGTATTTAGGCGTTTCTTCATAAAAAAGGTTCTGGCATAAACTTTAGAAGATGAGCCACTAGGTGAGCTGCCTCTGGTTGTTTATAAATCACAAATAAAGACAGAATTTTCACACAAACAGTAGCTCATATAATCAAGCAGGCAATGCGGTTTTAGACCAGACTTTCACAATTTGTAGATAAATACCCTAAAAAGGTCTATTTGTTTTTCTTAGTTTGTAAGTCTCATTAAACAAACAACCCCTTGGTGTACAGTAATTGATATCTATATCTAATCTTTGCTTCTCTAATTTGCCATCAAAGGTCATTTTTTAACTTCTTAAATTTCCATCCACTTTACTTCTATTGTTCTGTTACTGAAAAATGTCTGAAAGCATTGATTAATTGAGTTTTTCACTATTACTGTCAGTAAAACAAAACCAAAACCACACTGCTTTTCCATGCATTGTAAAACTGTGCACCAAACTGTGCATCTATAGAACTGCACGATGTTACTTCATTCAACCGGAGAGAAAGCTGAAACCATTTCCTAGACAGTCGGTCAAAAACCACATATCCAAAAGCAGTCTTATTGGGTATTCATGCGTAAAACAGATGGTACATGATGTAACTCTTTGCATTAGTCTTCTTGGAATTCTTTCTTTTAAAGATCATGTACTTGTATAAAATGCAATGTAATCCTTTTAAACCCGAATAAAAAAAGTGCAAATGAAAATCTGAATGATTGTTCTAAAAGCAGTAGCTTTCTGTGGGCTCAAATGATGACCTGACCTGACTCTGCTTATTTTCTTAACTTATCACCATATAGCCATATTTTTTCCTTTAAAATATAGCCGTATTTCAAATCACAATTCCTTCTTGCTTTTTTAGACGGTGTCATTGCTTCTTTAAATTCAAAATTAATAGCCGTGTAGTACACATTTACTATCAGTCAGTATGGAATGCCTGCAGCCTTTATATACCTAACTATTTCTAATAATGTTTTTTTTTTTTTTTATTGCATGGACGCCTACAGGATCGTGAATATAGGATCATAATACATTGTCCTGTTATGTAGCTGTGAAACCTAATAATACAATGTCAATGTACATGAAACAGAAGTTAAAGAATTTATGATGTGATGTGATTAAAAATTTGTTCCCAAAAGTAAATTCTTCAACTTCTTTCCCATTCACCTTTAGGGATCAAAATTCTATAGAAACGTATTATGAAGAGAAAATAATGTTGTCAAGTGATGATGCGGCAATAGGTCTTAAGTGGTTTGCAGGTAACTTTTAAAAAAGCGCACTAGAAGGACTGTTTTGATGTCCTACCTCCAATGCAGACACTGACCAGTAGTCGCCTTATTTCACAACTACCACTCTCTCTGCCCATCAGGCTCCTCTGGTCCCTCCGCTGTCATTTTTTACTCCTCCAACAGTTAGCCTCTAGAACAGTGGTGGGCAATTCCAGTTCCCGAGGGCCAGTATCCTGCAACTTTTAGATGTGCCTTCTAAGGAGCTGGAATTGCCCACCCCTGCTCTAGAGGCTAGCCTCGGCAGTTGTGGCCTCTCCCTTCTTATTCTCCCTGGCAGGCTTCTCCAAAGTACCACTGCCTTACTCCTGGCCAGCGATAGCCTCAGCATTCTGCTTCATTGGCGGACTTATCCAATCCTCCACTGTGCTCCTTTAACACTCTGCAGTTAGCTTAGCAAGTATAGCTGAACTGTAGCTTCTCCCCACTCTGTCACTGTGCCCAGCAGGCACCTCCAATCAACCGCTGTTACTTCTGAGCTCCAGAGAGGCACGGCTGGCTGCCTCGTCCCGGTTATGGTGTTCTTTCTTCTGCTGTTCTGACAATTTCCCTGCTGCTGTTTGAGCTCAGAATGTTGTCTACACTTAACTGTATTTTAAGGGGAATTATTCACCTGTTTTGGGCACCAACCAAAAAAACATGATCCAGAACAGGAGAAAGAAACATGTCCGTTCAGAAAAACAATCCTCAAGAACACAACACAAGGACCGGCGCATAAATTGGTGGTTTTCATGACCGGCCATTAACCCACGGTGGCCCATCGGCTGATTTCCAAGCACTGTTGATTGACCTTTGAAAGTTTAATATCTATACATATATATACATACCCATCTGTATGGGACATCTAAGCAAGATGAAGACTAAAAAATCATTTAAAAGTAACTATATTTTATAAAGAACCAAGGTATAAAATATAAATTTTTATAGAAATTATTCCATTTCTTCTTAATGTTTTGGGCAGAAAAATTATAACACAAGGTTTTTGTCATAGCAGTTAGATAAAAACCATTGGGTACTCTCGTTAGATCATGTGTGACATGTTTCATGTGGATCCATTTTGATTTAAAAATCAAATTTGTCAAAAAAATGACCTAACACATTTAGAAGCATGTTAGATTTTAGTTTATGCTTAACCTCTAAATTATGGGGCCATTTTAAATCTGTCACTGAAGAGAAAAATAGAAAAGAAGAGCAATCCAAACTTTGCAATGCTTTCTCTCACCTGGCACACTCCGCTGATGCACATGTCCAAGGACTCGGTGTAACAGCGTGTTCCATCCAGCACTTTGGGCGCCAGCTCCACCACTAGGCCAGAGTCTTTGGCTTTACACTTGAGAGAGCAAGGGTTTTCTGGATCGTTGTAAACAGGCAGCCAGTCATGAAAATGTCCTTGGTATCGCACGTCAGCGTGAGCTGAACACTGTTGAGCTCTGAAGTCCCCAGCATCTGGAGGGCAGTCCTACAGAAAACACGAAAAATGGTTTAAAAGAGCTCAATACGCTGATCAACGCTTTAGTAAGTACAATTAAATAAATATCTCTACAGCAGAGCTTTTTGAAAAAGATACAAAATGCTTTATAAGAAAGTATGTGAATAGTTTAATCTGTTTTGCAAAGAGGAAAGTCATTGGGTTTAGAGTTTAGAGTTTAAGAAGAGCCTTACTGTTGGTGATTAGGCTGAGGGAACTACTATCTATGATCAGGAGTATGCCAATGTATTCCACTGTATTCCTTTAAATAAATATTTAAAGGAAATGTTTTTTATTTTTACTCCTTAAAAAAAAAAAAAACATTATAACAGCTAATAAGATTAGGTAGGCAAGCTAGGATAAATGGTTTGAGGACCCTAACTGATACATGACTGCAAAAGGCTAGGCAAAAACCTATATAACTCACAGTAAGTACTATTTTGTTTAAGGCAATGTTAGAAACCGTGAGTCAGTTTCTGACATTGCCTCAAAACATTTAACGCCATGTTTGACTAGGCCATCAATATCACTCTCCAACAACCTGGATGATGTTATTTCTGAATTATGAAGACTAAACCAAACTGGGTGAACTTTAGGGACCAAGCTGATAATTAAATCTTTTAACAACAGAAAAAATTGGAACAACATAGAATTTACATAGAAAAGCATTATGTAATATCAGCCAGACAGCTAAAATTCATAAAGGTATTAAGCTAGACAGAGGGAAGTACCAAAAAATAAAAGGGAGCAAAAGACAAATCCTTGTTGCACACCAGACTTTAACTGAACTAGTAAAGATATGGAATAATAACATGTTTTTGTAAGGGTTCTGTGTACCAATAATTAAATTATAAAAAAATTCTAAGTTAAGTTGTATTACTAAACCTTAATCAATGCAACAAGATGCTATGATGGTTGGGTTTTCAAGATAATACTTCCAAGTGACTAATTAAACTTTATCTATAAACAACCACTAAAACACTGGAGGCTTTAAAAGCTCTCATTCAAATAAATTATAGTAATTTGTATGAGTAACTGACCAATTAGTCTTAAATAAAAGAAGACAAATCTGTAGCTGTATTTTTTTTATAAAAAATAAGAGTACAAGTTATCTTTATCTTCTCTATAGCAACAAAAATAACAGAGGACTAACCCTTATCATTAAAAGTGAGATTTTGTCCTTCAGATCTAAAGAAAAACAGCTGATCGAAAGCTCATTAAACATTACATACAACTGTTCTGAACTTACCACATTACTGCATGTGCGATATTTGATATTCTGCCCTTCACACGTCCTGCAGGAGACAAAATATTTATATGTAAAATTATAAAAAAAAGTAGTTTTGATGCAGTTGTGGTGGTATATTCTAAATGTAATGTATAGACTTGATATTCGAGTGGCTACACAGTCTAGGATAATAATTTAACTTTAGTTTTGCATCTGTGACTTACATTACCTAAGAAAAAAGTGTAAATTGTTAAAAATGTTTTTGAAAATGCATTAAAGTTGTAAGAAAGGAGTGTGCCAGGTCTTTCTAGTCTAATTTAATGATTTGAAAATTAATTGATTGATTCATGTCAATTGGTCACAAGGCATGGCAGTTATCTATTTTTTTATTTTCAGGAGTGCATAGTTTGGATATTTCTCATACCAAACCTCACACTACTGCTCCATCACAAAACTATAATTGCTGATATTACTCTGCTTGCCTAATTTTTATTGCAGGTGTAAATGTTCTTACAAGGCAATATGTTTATGATTTTATGATTATTTTAGCAGCTGAAAAAAAAAATTTAATTTCGTTATGTAGTCAAGCAGACAAATTCTAAAGAAAATTTAAGGTATAGAATGTTGAAAATAAATCCACATACAAAAATGAAATAAATAAGAAAAAAAAATGTATATTGTAAAGGTACTTATTTAGCCTGATGCTAAAAACTGTTTTTTGTTGTTGTTTGTTTTGGCCTATCCAGTAATCCAGCCTTTTTAACCAGGTTAAGCCCATAGAGATTTCAAAGAAAGGCCTGGCCAAGAAGATAGCAGCACATACACTACAACAAATAAAACAAATAAAAAATTTAAAAGAATAAAACTCTCCAAAAACTCCAACCTAAAACATTTCCTCAGAGACAAGACTGATTGCAATGATTTAACATGACTTTTGAATTATTTGAGCGCAGGGTTGGACTGGGAACGACTTTCGGCCCTGGGATTTTTCCATCTACACCGGCCCACTATAGGCATCACACGACGACCATCACCAAGCTTTCTATAATGGGGTTTTACTGGCTTTGGTTATCGACACGGGCGAGACAGTGCCTGCTGCTGCTGCGTAACGCCCACACTTGCACGAAGCCAGCCAGACACCCACTCACACATACTAGGTCTACAACGTACCCAGAGTGTTGTAAGAACACCATTATAGAACAATACAATATAGAGGCAGACAGGCAGTTCTTCAAGAATGAATCCATGAAAGCTCAGCAGTGTGGAAGCGTTCACTGCGAGTCTAGGTGGCATGTGGGCAATGAAATGCAATAATGTAAACAGATGCAAAACCCCATCATGCACGACAACATATTTTTGCAAAATATTCTAACATAAATTCACCAAATATAAGAAGGACATTGTAGTTTGGGTTAAAGAAAGCATTTCTAGTTTAATTATAATTTAGTTTGTTGCAAGGATTTAACAGTTTGAAGAAATAGGATTTTACAGTTTGAAAAAAGAAAAAAGTTACACCATATGCCAACTGTCACAAGGATGTGCATGACGAGGAAGGGGCTATATATACTGCATGCAATATATAGTTAGTTAACGTTGTATTACTTCTTGAGTTCCTTCACTTATTTACTGTCACAGGTAGGTGCTTCAGCCAAAGAGTAAGTGTTGAGGCCAGTATGATTTAAGGAGAGCCGGCCCTCGCACGCTGAAATTAGGACCGGCCCACTGGGCAAATGCCCGCCATCACAGATTACCAGTCAGAGCCTGTTTGAGCATTGCAAGTGCTTGAATGTTCAGACTGTAATTTCTTCCAAGCAGTGGGTGCTGAAAAACTCTGAATTTTCTTGTCCACATCAGTTCACACTTTGAGGACAATAAATTGTAGGACATCATAGATCGGACACTGTTTGCTGTGACAGACTGGTAGAACATGCTGAGCAGCTTCTAACAGACATGAGGAAGAACTCAACAGCCTCAGGAAGTAAAGATTGATCTGCCCCTTCCTGTACAGGGCATCAGTATTTGCTGACCAGTCAAGATTATTGCCCTGGTGTAATCCAAATTTATTATAAGTGCTGGCCACCTGCATGTTCAAAAAATCTCCATGACAACCATTGATCATGTCCAAATCATGCTTGTGCAGTTACAGAGAGATTGTGAACACCCTCATATTTCTCCTCAAGAATTACAGCAGGCCAAATCTTCTTACACGGAGTAGAAATCATTCAGTCGGTCTAAATTTAACTTTGTCCCAGACATCTTGGTTAGGAAAACATTTTAAGTTAATTTTATCTGAGTGATAACATAGAGAATTGAGTGCACCTTAGCTTAGAAGAATCTGAATAAAATGCCATTTGTCTTGCCTTACTATTCCATAAACAAATCATAGCTCCATAAATTAACAGTAATATAGAAGCATTAGCAGTGAAAGTACAGTGGAGTCCTGCAGTCTGTGTCTGCTGAACAGATTAAAGCACTTTGGATCGTGACTCCCTCCAGTCTGTGGCTGTTTTGCCCAAACTATTGAGCTCACCACTTACTGAAGCGGAGGATTCCTTTCTCGTCAAGGGATGATAAACCACCGATGGTAACAATGATAGGCCAATCATCCGAGACTGTGGTGGAAACTGATTGGATGACATTCCTTATTTCAGTTTGGAAACTTAAGAAGAATTTCACTGTCTTTGTTCCTTAGCTAATCAATAATCATGACTATAGACAACATCTCAAAGCTAAGACTCAGACATGAGTGAAGGGCTTGGGACTTTTTGCCATGTTTTTGCAGGGAGTGGATGTGGAGTGTGTGGCATGGCAAGAACATTAGAGCCCATGACGAATCCAGACAGTCCCTTCTGCCAAGCCAAACAGAGGTTATTCGGCCTGAACCCAAACAAGAGACTTTCAAGGAACCAAGAGATGAGAGACAGGTAGCAAAGATCAGTGTGGAAACTCACCCAGGGACACAGGGATATATAAACTAGACATAAAAAGGTAAAAGTAATAAAAAGAATTTCCCTTTTCATTTCCCTCTCACATTGGAACTTCCAAAGTAGAGTTTACACAGAAGTAGGCAGAGCCAGGACTGTATGGATTTCTGCACTACATTACAAGTCTTGTATTTTACCCCAAAATTAAAATAAAACAAGTAGAAACCCAATCAAGTTTCTTCAACTTGTTAATATTCGCAGTCATGTTAAAAGTGTATAGGCATCCAAATCCCACCCTTTGTGAAGGAGAACCACCTTACAGCATGCGACTATGATGACATGTAACAATCCATTTATATTTTGTTCTGCTCAGATGCATCATGCCTCTTATAAAACTAACTACAGCTGAAGTCCAGTAGTTTGTTCTCCCTTGGCACATTTTAAGACGATGAACAAAGTTTATGTCAAAGGAGCCAAATGATGCGAAATAATGCTTACAAGAGATGTATGTTATTCCTGATGCAAAGCTTTCTTGTGTTACTTGAAGGTTCTTGTCTGGAGTTGTAAGATACTCTGTAGTGCTTCCAAGATAATTAATATACTATATAAATGTTTGAACATCTCTTGCAAACTAACCCTTTTAGCCAAACTGTAGGTACTTTGTGCCAAAATGTGGCCCACTATTTAAAATCTTACGGAGCTTAGGAACTGTTACTGTATGTTGAAAATGATCTTTGAAAAGAAAAATGTAACTTTTTTTTATTGATCTCACCTTGGACAAATTTAGTCTTTGCATTTAACCCATCCCCTTGGGGAGCAACAGGCTGCCGTTGTGTGGCACCCGGGGAGCAGTGTGGGTTAATGGTCTTGCTCAGAGAGGTAGTCTGTGAGGATCGAACCGGGTTCTTGCATCCTTCTCAGAGCTTAAGAGCATTGCTCTAACCGCTAGGCCAACACTCCCCCAACCGTAGCTACATTGCATACACAATGGATTAAAACCCTCTAATAAAATCTTTATTCTCATTGAGCATACCAATTTTTGAAAAGTTAAAAGAAAAGAAAAAAAATTCAAACATCCCACCCTATCTAATTAAACTTAAGTACCGGTATCAGTGACATAGGAGTTGGTTCCTCTTTCGTGCTCATCACCAGTCATGTGTAAGCAAATGTGTTAGACAATTAAGTTGGGACTGTTCTTATTAAATTGATGAAAAAGAATATTGCTTTTTTTTTTTTTAGCTTCATAAAGATTACATGGTTAAGTTTGTCTCTTGCCATGGATGCCCAATGGCATCCACAGCACTCGTAAACGAGCCATGCCTTGGAGTTTTGTGATTAGGCAAGAGTCCTGTATGGATGGAGCTAATGAGGGCCAGATGATTATTGTCCTAATCAACTCCAGCGTATTTTTGAAGTGGTAGTAAGTTGCGTGCACTGCCACTTGTGTGCATGTGTGTGTCAGTGTAAAGAAGCTGGAATTGGTTTGGAGGGTGTTACAGGCCCGTTTCCAGCATCTCCTGCCAACAAAAATCACTCACCCTCACACAAAGACACACATAAGAGGCCTTGTGCTGTTTTTTTTAATGACACTGTTATATCTGCCACCCCTGGCCAGACTGCTGCTCCCTCATTCCCATGCAGCAGTGGGGTGGATCTGAGCCCGTTATGTGTAGCAACTGCCTAAGGACACATAGGTTTGTAAACAGATCCGCCTGGACCCTGATGAGTGCATACAGCTACTCCTATGCAATCACAGAAGGAGCCTAAATCCCATACACCTCTTAACACATCAACTGATTTTACAACAGCCAGTAGCGCTCTGTGGTTCCCCTGACCATAAAAATGCTGGTTTGCCATGGATATCATGAACTAGAGTCCTACAGCTTCTGACCTCAGTGTTTACCATGAAGTACAGAAAGGTTCTGGCACTTTGAGCATGAGGTTTTGACAGTCTTGTGTTTCTTAGGGCTGTTTCTGTGTGCAGGCAAAGCAGATGGATTCATTGTTTGGGGGTGGGTGGGGTGCTGGCTACATATGGGAACTCGGCTGTGACCTTAAATATGATCTGTGCTGTTTTATCAATTTGTCTTTTAAACAGTTGAGATGTTTTATGATCTCACTGGCTGCTCCTGTCATTTGGCTGCTCCCTGCTGAACACCTCAGGCAGAGAAAAAGTGGTGAATTGAGCAGCAAAGCTCACTGGCTACCTTTTGGATGTGAGCAATAGATTCTGGGAACTGTAAAAAAGGAGGAATGTGATGAAGTCACTGCAATGCTATTTCTAAGCCTATAAATGTGACAATATTTCTATGGAAAACATACCCTCTCAGTCCTTTTGTTCAAGTTTCCCTTTTACCCATCAAACCCAGTTATAGTTAGCCACTATGGGAAGCGCATTTAACCTTAATCTTAAAGCTCAGCAGGCTACTCTAAAGATAGAGGAAGAAAGTTACCTTTAGGGGTAAAGAGTAAAATGACCATCCTAACAGTGCTTTGAAACATTTCAGCCCTTCAGTTTTTCTATTTATTTGTCACACTTGTGATTCAGATGACGAAACCAGTTTCCACACAGAAGATCATCTAAGTAACATTAAAAACATTTTATAAACAGGATTTCTTTTCGTGATTGAAAAAAGTTTACATACCAACCTGGTCCAATGCGAAAAACTCTTTAGTAGCAACACCTGGCAGTAAACGTTTGCGACAACTGGCAAGGAGTGGATTGGAGGAAACTTGCCCCATCTTGCCCCCCTCTTTTTTCCGTTAATTAAGCAACAGTTTTTTTATTCTGCATTTCAACGCTTTTAAGGTTATGCCATGGGGTTTCTATCAAATATAAGTTAAGACTTTGCAAGGGCGTTCCAAAAACCTGCACATATTTCCTCTTTTTCTTTAGCGAGTATTGAGCTGTGGATCAAATGGTGTGTCTTGGATCATTGTCCTGCCGAATAATCCAAGGTGTGCTAGTGTTTAATGTCTCTAATTGATGGCTGGACTTTATCCCTTGGTTTCATTAATTATGCCAGTTCAACTAGAGTCTACGAAAACAAACCAGCACTGGACCATTACACTACCACCAAAATATTTAAAGAGCAATTGCAAGCAAATTGCAAGTCATTCTGACAGCGAGCTCAACTTTGAGGAGGGCAGGGAAGTCGCTGTTGTTTGTGATGCAGACAGCAGCTGCTGCAACTCCGACATCCTCATCAATGGAAAGGTTCTGTATCTCGGGCATTACTAAATCCCACTCGTGGCAACAGTAGCATCCACCTCTGTCTGCATTAATTCGCACTTGAAACAAGTGCACCATGATTTGTCGGCCACCCTGGATATCGCAGCTCCAGCTGACGCTCCTGCGGCTCCGGCTTCAGCTTCCATCACTTCTCTGTCCACCCTCTCTCTTTCTGCCCGATCTAACTCCATTTGTCGAAGTTCATCGTCAGTGTACTCGGGTTCATAAAGATATCCCTTTGGCTCTAAGTGGAAGTCGATGTTTTCCTCGTCGCTCTCGTAGTCAGACATCTTCCCCAGTAGTAAACAATCGCGAATCAAACAGGTAGGCCCTTAACCTGACAACAGCCAGATGCATGCCTCGCTCCGCCCAGCTAGGAGCTAGGCGGAGCGAGACATGCATCTGGCTGTTGTCAGGTTAGTAGGCCCTAGCTGTCAGGTCATGGTGTCGCGCGCACTGATACGAACAGAGAGAAAATAGGACCAAGTGATAACGACGTGTGACTTTTTCCACTACAATGTTTTTGGGATGCAAAAATATCACTCTTTTGAACACATAATGTTTTGGGAAGAGAAACGTTTTATTTCGCTGGGTCTAGCAAACCTGCCGGACTACTTTCGGCTTGACCAAAGCTGGACGAGAACTCTGCTCACAGGATGCTGCCAGGGGTAAGTCAGTGTGATTGCATGACACTGGTGATGGGGATGCCATACAGATTCATGTCAAAAATCCCGAACTATCCCTTTAAGGTGATTCATTTCATATGCTCCCATCACTGGTTGACAAAGCAAGTCCTTACAACTTGAACACAGATTTTGGATAAAAGCTCCTCCCACCGCTACTGGGCTTCAAATCAGTTTTCCCAGAATAAAATATATTGTCTTAGCTTGGTATAGCGCAGAGGGATAATGTCTACATTTGTTAATGATAGCTCATTCATGTTTTTGAGTTGTTCTTTTAAGGACTTAAGGTTGGATGTACATCTTTTTGAAATCATTTCGCCTACTTCATGTTGCCAGACAGGTTCTATTAAAGGGATTACTTTTATACTATTTCATGAATAGTTCATCAAATCTAACAGGTTTTAAACTAATCTCTTAAACGGTGTCTGAAAAGACTTAACTAAACTTAGTTTTTCATTCTAACAGCAGAGGAAGGAGTGAAATAATTTTTTTCTCATATGGCAAATTCAGTTGGATTTCTTCCCTAAGTCTTCTTTTACTGTCCTTAGCTGCAAAAATCCAATTTAAAAGCAGATTGAAACTGCCTTTGTTCGTTTATTTTACTGACTAAAGTAACTTTCTTTTATAACTCTTATACAAAAAGTTTGTTGAAAGAAACTTTGTAAACCGTTGTCATTAATAAATGAAATAGGCGGCTAACAGAGTGTAAGAAGAATTTACTCACCCATGATCTCCACAAAAACATTAAAACATCAGTGAATCATTGTTATAGATAATAAGCAATATATTGTTTTGCCAAGATCAAGAATTAATTATGGCTAATCTACTTTAAAGAAAAGTAGAAAGATTATTGTAGATGCTATGATATTTCCACTCAGCGTAACAATCCAACTGACCGAGAAAGTGAGCATGGACTGACTTGTGTTCTTTACGATATTGACAAGAACACAGGAAGTATGTACTTAGGGAGAATGGAAGCATGCAGAAAAAACCTCTGAGAATTGGTACAGAAGCGTACTGGTAGAATCACCAGACGCACGGCTCGTCTGGACCTGCATTTCACCTCCTGTTTTTAATAGCCTCGAGATGATAATAAATAATATACATAATTTTATTTAGTAGGAATAATGGTTAAACTGTAAAACTAATTATACTTGTACTGAATATACACACATATGCTATTAAAATGTTATTTAATCATGCTATAATTCTATGTTATCTCCGCAAATATTTAGTAAGTAAAACAAAACAATTTAGTGACATCAATGCAAATCACATGGACGTTTGGCTAAAATAAAACAAACAAACAAACAAAAGAAAACACACTGGAGCCTGCAGTACTTCACACTGCCAATGCTATGAGAGGGTGCTGCTCCACTGCAGACAGTTTACATTAGCCCTGGCTGGGGTTAGCTTCAGAGGTCAGTTAGTTGCTTGGATTTTCTCGATATTCGAGCCTTTTTCTTAAATTAAGCACTAAATCATTAAATGGGCCGTATGGTGAAGTTTAAAAGTGTCGCCAAAAACTAACTGAAAACAGACTTTTAACTTAAAACTCTGCGCTCCGTAAATGCCGCCCTTAATGCCAGCTGCTTCCACAGTGCATGCTGGGGCAGTAGTCAGTCTGAAGAACGCACAAGTCTGCGCTGAGGCATTCTGGGTAAAGAAGGACGGGAGAGAAAAACATTTGTGGATTTTGTCTGTTCTCTGTCTTTGTGTTCTTGTAAATTAGAACAGTTCCAGGGGCTGAGGCCAGTCACATTCTTTCTTCAGTTAGTTGAACAAAAGATATGACTGGTTCTCGAACATATTTACTTACTTATAGTAATTGTGACCCTTTAACAATTTTAAACCGAGACTACCAAGAAGATTTAAATCCCCCCGAAATAAAAAAAACAAACAAATAGATTTTAAAGTGATAAGATTTAGATAATCTAATTTTTTTTACATTGACTTTTATTTTCAGATCAGATTCCCTACGAATTTCCCCCATATTTGTGGAACATTTTAAGATTTTAAGCACTACATAGAATAATAATTACTATAGCATAATAGTTTGGATTAAGACATAACTATGACTACATGGCAACCTTACCTGGAGCTCAGACATCGTCTTAATGAGTAGGAGGCTCCTCCACCACACGTACGAGAGCACTCACTCCACGATCCCCAGGCATCCCACAGTGTGTCCTTATCTTCCTCTGATCGGGCCGTCCGTGAGCTCTACGCAGCAGGGAAGAGTTTTAGCATGAGTGAATAGTCATGAACAACACCAAACACAAGAGTAGATACCTTTTCAATCACTGGAATTGTGCAAATAGACCTCAATTTAGTGGGGTTTTCTTTTGATTTTATACCATAGTAGCCAACAAAGTACCAGATGAGGCTCTGATCACTTGAAGAATATCTTATAGAAAGAAATAAAACAAAAAAGCTAGCCTAAAATGGTATTTATAGACTTTTATCTTAATAATAAATCTCTAACCTCTCGGCTTATATTTAATAAAGAAAAAGGATTCAACTGAATTAGATTAGCTGGTGAAAAAAATGACCTTATGTGACAATAAGAGAGAAAAATCTTAAGGCTTGCTTTGGATGAAGAAAATATTTTTTTTTATAAAGTTCAGGCCACGCGTCTGTACCTCTCTGCTAATTGCATTTGGTTGTATTTGGCAGTGGGGTAAGGAATACTACAGCAGCACCCAAGACCAATATTATGAGAGGACAGGCACACGTCTCGGATATGAAATGACAGCCAGAAACAGAAGATCCTCTCTGTGTCATTCATCTTATCCTGTTCCAACTTTCCACTCAGATTCCTTAACTGAACCAACCATTCCTGCTTTCAAAAAGGATTTGTAATGTGCATTTTTAGAATAATCTGGATTATGTATGACTGCATATATTTATTATTGCATAGTTCTCTTTCTGGGGTTCTTGTAAAAAATTACAAAGCCAACTGAAAATGCCGCATTATCTAAAACCTAAGCTCAACCCAGGAAAACGAATATAGTTTGCTTTTATGATCAGGGACAGAGAAGTTTTAGCTGTACAATAGATGAAACTCTAGGAAAGAATTTATAAAGAAAGAATCGGAGCAAGCAGGTCCAGGCCAACATGAAACGTAGCTCAGAAGGCAGGAGGTGAGAACACATTAGTGCCGCTGAACCGTAGTTATTTGGGCTGTCAAAAGGAGAACAAGCACATATTAAAAGGTTTCCACATGGTAAAACTTAAGGAAGTTTCCAATGGGAATAATCCTGTAAAGAACAGTTGAACGTGGCACAAATCTAACACGTGATGATTTGATGGCTTCATCTCTAGAAACATGTGGTTCTTAGACTTTCATGTGCAACAATAGGAGGCCACTGAGACAGATACAGTCTACCTTGAAAGTTAGACCCCAAACTTACATTTTGAATAAACTGTATGGTGAGAATGGCAAATATAAACTCTAGCTTATCCCTTTACGGTATTCATGCTGGAATATTCTTTGACTTTTGAGGAACTTCCGGTTGGATGAACCCCTGTTTTTTGAAAGCATCTCTGGTCCAAATAAAGATTCTTTATTTAAGTGAGGCGTTGCTACTGCTTTTTTTTTTGCACCATGTTTGTTCTCCCACAATGTTTACATGTGAACACGGCTGTACTTTAAGAAAAAGGAAATTTTTGCTTTTTCAATAGTAAGGTCTCTGTGTCCAGTACTTCTAAGTTTAGGGTAATCTTTTTTATAGAAAAATAAATTAATAAAGCGATTGGTATATTTATACTGTTACATACATGTCAAGTTTTGGATTTGAAAATACAGGAAAGTTTACGACATCTGCTTCGAACCGTCTGACTACCCTAGTCCAGTATCCATTATATTTTAAGACATGTATGTGAGAAACCAAAATTAATCCAATTGCAAACCAGATTAAGGTGATCAGCTTTTGACTTGCAATACTAGAGACAGTTCCGTATGGAGAGGCAGATCATGCTTTTTTTTAAATATCATTTTATAATACAATAATACAGGAAATGTATGGGAGACTGATAATACGGCAGGACAGCGGGAAAAACAGGTAAAATGTTTTACTATCCCCACAAGAATGGGAGACTTGACAGCTATGCAGCTATAACCTTAGGTTGCAGGAGGACAATTATACAGTTTTTACATTATTGGTTACTGCTTTCAAATGAGGCATTGTCTGCATTAACTTCCATCACTGACTTTGAGTTCACTCTATTTTTTCGTATTTACAAAGTTGCCCTCAGTCATGCATATCTCTATAGCTTGGACATCCTCATGGACATCAGGATATCGATAAAGCTAGTGTTCTATCTTCTCTTTCTATAAATGACACACTTGATTTTGTCTTTTTTGTTTATCCTCATCTCTTTTGTAGACAAGCAGTGATGGAGCAATTGCAGCTGATATGCTGTCATGGTGTGAATTTGGAGGAGGGTTCGATGCAAAATCAGTGAATAAATGCAATTGGCTTGGCTTCCTTGCAAAGGAAACTTACTAGTTTGAATAATGAGCAGTTTCATTAGTTCACAGGGATGAAATTAGAATGTAGGAGTTTGAATTTGTCAGCATTAAAATATATTTCTAAGGGATATGCATTTATTTTAATTAGATTAGATACATTAAGTTTAGACGAGGCTTTTTGAAGCGCTAAAACCCCACATACTTTGACTTTTGTAGACAGGGGTTAAATATTTAGACGTAAAATGATTTATGCTCACTGACCTAAAGAACACTTATCTGAGCTCACACACACAGTTCTTACGTTTTATGCTTGAGAAGTTATTTAGACCTCTTTGGGCCATTTTTTCCAATGGAATGGCACTGTATTTCATCAGTGAAGATAAATAGAGCTAACAAAGGAAAGCAGATAGAATTCAGTAATACTCCGCTGATTATTTTCTTTGGGTCCTGGTAGCAACAACATCCAAGCACTCCAGAAAATGAGAAAAGGTGGTGGGGTTCACATTATTAAAAAGTGCGTGGGGACTGATATAAATGCTTGTCAGCGCTCATGACGCCTGAGGAATAGCAGAGGCGGATGGCGAGTACTAAACAAAGTCAGCAGAGCATTTAGGCAAACATGTAGGCAACGGCGGTACTTTCTCCGGGAGCCAACTATTTCACTGTTTGGATCATGGTAAATAAACACAGGCAGTGCACTGGGCAGCCCGTTTCCTCACTACCTTAACTCTCCTTTGAAAAGCAATCAGGGAATTTTTCACTCAATTACAAACTAAAAGCTGCGTGCGAGGGTGTAACAAGGCCAGTGAGGGGAGAGAAGGGGAAGTAGATGAAGGATGGAAGGGATAAAGATGAACTTGTTTGGCTCACTGCTCTTCTATTGTTCTTGATGAAAAAAAACAAGTTCGCTCTTTGAAGAACAATTCCTCTGGTGCTAGGTTTTGAATAGATAACCACATATAGTCACATTTGGCACCTATGTTGCTTCAATAAATCCAGGTGGATTTTTTCACAGTGTTGAGTTCACCACCTTTAGCATCAAAATAGGACTAATGTCACTTGCTTCTATGCATCATCTTTTAATAGGCAAATTAAATAAACACATTAATGCAATGTGGCTTTAATGTCACGATAGTTTACTCAAAACGCAGAGAAAAAAAAAGTTTTACATTTTGGTTGCTTTTTTCCTCAGATAGAGTGTATTTATGAGGCCATCAGAACTACTTGCATGGTGTGCTTGTATTAGTACTGAAGAGGGAAATAAGGGAAAACCCAAAAGAAATCCTTACAAGAAAAATAAAGAGCTTCAATATTAGCATGCAAGAACATCCAATGAGTGATTTAGGGGAAAATGAAGACTTTTTCACAGTCTTGCATGAGGTCAAACAAATACTCCTATTAAGAAAAAAATTATGTAGAGCATGACAAATTCACAATGATTCATTTGAATGCAATCATATAATAGATCACAACGGGTAAGAGTTAACTAAGAAATAACTAATAAATAAAACCTTAAGAACTATTACCACCTTTTAAAGATTTGGTTATGAAAGTCGTACTTTGGAGGCTAAACATTAAGATATGGGGAGTAAGTTAAGCCTTATACAGCACTGTACAGCCAAGCAATGTGTTCAGCTGTGACAGGCAGGCTCTGTTTAAGACACCTGTCAACAGCTGAGGCTAAGTAGATTTTCCCTTGAAGATGGAAAACTCCTGCAACAAGGAAAAGGAAACCTGACTCTGAAGGCTTCTTTAGCAGACTGTGTAAATATACAAATCATTTCTTTTTTTAGTCAGAAGGATATAGGATATGTACACATCTGCTTAAGTCTTTGTCATATATGACTCTGAGTAGTCACTGTATGTAACAGAGAGCCCAAGATAAAAAAAAAAACATGCAGAATGTTATTCAGAGTTGGATATAATTAGTATTTTACCTATTTTATGATATTTATCATAGCAGGAAATTTGAAGAGCAAAAATATATATAAAAAAAAATAGACAAAAAGGTCCAGTACCAGAATAAGAAGAGCTGTCACCAGCAGCTTGGAAGCTGAGGAGTCCAGCTTCATGTCGTCTCAGGGTGTGATTTGCTGTTTCGAGCTCAGCAAATGTGAATCCGATGCTTGCTGCTCTCCTCTCTGACTCACTCCCTGTGTCCTCCCTGCCTGCTCTCTCCACTCTGGCTCTCTGAAGCATTTCCTCAGGAGTAACATGTGGAGTGGGAGGGAGGGGACTGGGAGCCTATCATTTTTGTGAGCACTGTGTGTGGAAGTTTGGGGGGAAAACAGCCGGTGTGGGGGAAGTGAATCCGTACTTTGAGAAATCATGTTTTGGTACCCAGAGCCAATCGGTGAATAGACCTCGGTCAAGCATAGAAATACAAATAAAGGAGCCAGGTCAGCTGGAGATTTACACTTTCACACTAATGTGCTGAAAGTGGGGGGAGTAGCCTGGAGCTGCTCTGCTTTGTAAAAGCATTTATTCCCCAATAACCTCTTTATATTTTGTTATATTACAATTTCAAACTGAAATAACTTGCTTATAGGGTTCAGATAATTGTTAAAATTATTTTCACTAATGCATATCTGAAAAATGTGGTCAAAGTTCTCATATTTGGTCTAGATGCAAAATACTGTACTGGGAGAGAAACCCATCAACCCGAACCCCTTTTAAAACACGGTGATGCTTTATTTTCATCATGCAGTGGCGATGAGGATATTTTGAAGAAGCTTAAATCAGGATTAGG